GAAACAAATATTGTTTTTATATAGATAGATAGTTAAATTCTATTATTTATATATTTTCCTCAAATTTTCAATAACGCTTATGGTCGAATTTCGATTAGAGGACATGTAATTTATATTAAATCCTTAATTCAGTATAAAGAACTAACCCAACCTCCCACACATTCACTCACAAATTTTCGCATTCATAATATTAGTTGAGATGTGATGGCATCTAACCAAGATTCACGATGTAAGGCACTTACCTAATCTGACACGTCTCTTGTCTCCAAGTTCATTTGTATTAGTCTCGTCACGTTCACGATTACATCGCTAGATCTAGCGTAGATGAGTAATTAATGCTTAGATTTTGTTTGCTCACGTCACAGTTTCGTTAATATCTTTGTTGTGATCACTTAGTAATTAAGCTATTTAAAAGAATACTTTGTTAAATTTTCTCTTTATTTGATGTCAAAGAAATATATGGAGCCATCATAACGTGAGCTAGTGAAACATTTTTTTTTCATATTATACATATTTTAATATATCTATTATAGAGTATTTGAAGAAATAATATTGATTAAAGTTTAAAAATACATCCAATTTTTAATACGAACATTTTATAATTTGGTACCTATTAAAAATCATATGTAGTCTACTATAATACAAGTTTTAATAGAATTTGTATCCGTAAAAGATATGTAAATTGCGCTTTTGCAGAAAAGATACCTACTGTACCTATATATTTAAGTTAATGCAAGGTGTATTAATAAATATTTTATTACAATAGATCATACAAAAACATCATAGTTATGTATGTCTACTTAACTTAGTTTTCTTTGTAATCAGGTATCCATATTAAGTTTGTTTTAAAACTTGCTTTAAAGACGCCAATCGAAACTCAAGTTACTATCAAGTTTCGTATTTTGCAAGTATAATTAGCGTTGACACAGTACTACCAACTTTCCAGCTCAATGTTTCAACTTTAAACAAGTGAAGCGCTATTGTGAATGCACTTGATAATAATTAAATCCAAGACTTTTTGTTACTTCTGAAGTTGATATCAACAATATGATGCAGACTTTAAGAGACCTGTTTTGTTGGGCTTGTTATACTGTGGTTCTATTGAAATATACCTAATCTTTATTGAATTATATTATTCCAAAGGCATTGTACACACAATGGGATAAATATTTCGTCTTAAGCATAAATAATATGCTTAAGACGAAGGCATTAGTGCGATTTCAAGTTGGTGACTTATGATTCGTTGAATTTTCATAATTTGTACCGTTTTCACACAGAGTTACTATATAGAAAGACCATAATTATTCATCACGTTATCCTTCCAACAATCTCAATGAATCACAAAATAAAGTATATGCAATTTTGCCTCAAATAAGCGGGTTCAAATCCCGGGTCTTACACCTCTGATATTTTCATGTACGAATCATTTTTCAACATGATTTTCACTTGCCTTATGATGAAGAAAAAGATCGTAAGGAAACCTGCATGTCTGAGAGAACCTAGTAAGTTTTCGAAGGACGTGTGAAGTCCGCCAACCCGCACTTGGCCAGCGTGTTGGACTATGGCCTGATCCCCCTCGTACTGAAGGGAGGCCCGTGCCCAGCAGTGGGACGTTTAAACAGGGCGGAATACAAACTGCGGCATAATATATTATGTAATTAACCGACTTAGCTAATAATGCTATTTAAAATAATAACTTTAACCTTTACTCTGCTTAGCCCTTATATTTTTACATAGGTACAATATTCAAGCAGAAATATTAAGTTTCTTTATATGCATATTATGTACAACGTAGGTAAGTCATATATATATATATATATATATATATATATATATATATATATATATATATATATATATATATATATATATATATATAGATCTTCATACAATTTACTTATACATACATACATATGTATATTTCCAAGTGGGTGCAACTTCTAAGTAACCTTTCAATGACGAACTTTTTAAGTTTTATTCATAAATGTTAATATTTTGTTTTAAATATTTGTGAGGATGTTTTTGACTATTTTCGCAGATATCTTTTAAACAGGGATTTTACTAATATCATTTTATTTCTTTAAATTTTGCTATATAATATATACGTATTTTAATATAATTTTATTTTAGGACAAGATGATGCAACTAGTGCACCCCCTTGCACTCCCCTCCCCACGCCCATGCATACATATTTGTATGTATGTGTAGAAATCTGTATATACCCACAACCATCATGCAATACGAAAATAAGATATTACGAAAAAAGTATGACATTGCTTGAAACACACGACATGTAATTCAAACAGTCTGACACGAACTAATTTTACTCTCGAACATTAGTACCGTAGTAAATATACTCTATTAGTACTTAGTACGAAGAGAATCTGCGTCTTCTGAATTCTACTAAACCGTGTCAAAGAGATCTAGTGGAGCTCGAGATGAGCTCAACTATAATGAGTTTTAGCTGAGATTTCTGGGAACTAATATTAACTTATATACGTACATTAATGTGGGATATCGACATACGTCTATTATCTCTCTAAATAAATGCAAGCGTAATGAAATTATTACCACATAAGAATAATAATTAATGTATTAAGCTTATTTTATATCATAATTTACCCGCGGCCCCGACTGCCCTCCCTATTTATGTACATATTTGTACAAGTGCCCTGCTTCCTCAATATACTATAGGCCATAAAATGTAAACAGATTTTTTTCATTCATATTCTTACCAGGTTCCTGAGATTAAGGCTTTCATTCAAACAAAAAAACTCGTATCGGTTGTTATTAGTTGGAAACCATAGGTCTTTATAGACAGAATAGTTGTTTTCTATAAAGTTACAAGTCTGAATTAAGAACTTAGTCCAAATATAAGCATTGACATCTCAACTTGAACTCTCCATTGTACACGCTGTTATAAAGCGGGGTCGTGTCAAGTTGTTATGATGTAAATAGAAAAACAAATAGAAAAGCCGTATACTCTTAAAGACTTTTTATCATTTATCTTAGTAAGGAAGACTCCATCTATACATATAATGAAATTGTAACTAAGCCGAATCTGTACATTCAATATTTTTTGGAAAATCTTATTTAAATAAATAGTATTATCGATACAGAGGCCGAATCTATAGTTTTTAAAATGTTTGTCTGTCTGACTGTTACCGCAACACAGAAAAACCACTGGAGGGACTTTAATGAATTTTGGTATGGTGATAGCTGGTTGTCCGGGTCAATATATAAGATACTTTTTACCGCGGGAAAATTTCTCATTTCTGAGATAAAATACAAAAACTGCAATGTAAGAGTATACTAATATGTAAAACCTAAGAATTTGGTTTTTTGTTATCTGAACGCGGGCGGAGCCGCGGGGAATGTTAGTTATAAGTAAATATTTCGTAATTTCCTACCATCATTTTTGGCACAGAATGACTTAAGAATGTACTCGGAGACCGCAGATGACAGAAATTTGAAAGATTGGGGTCTCGTGTAACCCACTAGAGAATGCTCTAGTAAAGAATTAAGAAAAAAGAAAGAAAAATAGTAATAATCGAGAACACTATGCACACTTTTGATTTAAACCAAGAGTTGCTGAGTTACGAGTATAATATAATTCATTCAACAGCCAAAATTGTGTGTGCAAATATATGTTAAGATATGTTAAGACATTAACACACAGAACCATCCCGTTCCATGGTAAGCTACGAGGCTTGAGTTATGGATACCAGATAGTTGATACACTATACATATACATATAACTTTAAATACATACATATTATAAATATAAACACCCATGACTGGAGTTCAAACATTTGTGCTCATCACACAAATGAATGCCCCCAGCGGGACTCGAACCCGCGACATCTGGCATGGCAGGTAGGGTCACTACAAACTGAGCCAAACGTGTCGTCCAAAAAATATGTATATGTAAATCAGCTATATACCTACTTATTGTTCTCACACTCCGAGCTATCTATGAGAATTTTTTGACGGGCACTGAATTATTTAATCTTATAATATTAAATGAGCAGTTCTTGTATATATATGTATCTATACATATAATAAAATTGTAACTAAGCCGAATCTGTACATTAAATATTTTTTGGAAAATCTTATTAAAATAGACATTATTATCGATACAGAGGCCGAATCTATAGTTTTTAGATTTTTTGTCTGTCTGTCTGTCTGTCTGTTACTGCATCACAGAAAAACCACTGGAGTGATTTTTCATGAAATTTGGTATGATGGTAGCTGATTATCCAGGTCAACATATAGGATACTTTTTACTGCGGGAAAATATCTCATTTCTGAGATAAAATACAAAAACTGCAATGTAAAAGTATACTAATATGTAAAACCTAAGAATTTGGTTTTTGGCTATCTGAACGCGGGCGGGGCCGCGGGGAATGTTAGTTATCTATAATTTGGACAATAATAATACGTAGAGTTTACAATAGTATACAGAGATAATGCAATGAGAGAAAAGTTGCGAGTGTCTTAATGTAAAATATCATAAGCAAAAAATAATGAAATGAGATTTGATACGCATCAAAATAAAAATAAAATATTTTTGTGCAATGGAATGCTACCCATCCTCTCACATGACAGCGGCACTACAGCGAATGAAGAGTAGTAACCAGCCCATATGAGCTATCTTCTAAGAACATTTCTTACGCATTTATAACAGTACAGAGTGGCGAATTAGACTGGACATCACTAAGATCCTTCGGTTTAGTACGGTTTAAATTTAGTGCATCGTCGCGCACGCGTTGATTGACACGGGCCCATGTTCGATAGGTGAAAATTCGCAAATGCCACCATAAAAATTAATTAAAAATATGTTATACATTACATTAAGATCGAATAAATATAGCAATAAATTTTTTGACATCTAGGTGTTATGTTACGGATTTTTTTTTATTTCGATCGATGAATTGTCAGAGGGTTTTTATAAAATGTGTTGGTTTTCGAATCGTGTGTTAACCTACCTCATTATACAGGGTGCGTTTCAAGAACTCAAACTCTATGGATCACCAACACAGGCGGAGGTACAATGTGTTAATACATTTGAGGTAAGTTGTTACTTATACTATTTTAATATCAGAATAAATCAATAAAGTATACTAAAATATATTAATTTATTTTTTATAAAAAAAACTATAAATAGCTAATTTATTTACTAAATTAAAAACTTTTATTTCACAATACAGTTATGTGACAAACAATTAAGTTTTAATTTTAAAACATGGAAAATATTTATAATTAATTTTATTAAACTCTTAAATAATGTAAAAAAAGATAGCTTTTTTTATTTCACAATACCATTTTGACAGGAAGACAGAAGCAGTGAAGGCGACGAAATAGATATAGACAATTTTGTGGTGACTAGTTATTTTTATTTTTTTATGTTCTTTTTGTTTCACTTAAACCTGCTGTTATTCTTTAACCCTCATTATATTTTTTTTAATTGTATTTTAATAAAAAACCGTATTTTCATACACAGATATGTTCTACACAACGTCAAACCAAAATTTATAGTGTGATTAAAATTTATTTTAAAATATATAAAAAATAACATTAAACTTTAATTAATAGTATAAAAAATGTTTTAAAAGACAAAAATATCGAAAGTGTATCATATTATAAGACATAATCAGAGATATATATAAGAGACATATCTTATGACATATTCCGCCATAAACAATAGCATTCCCAAGGAGGGTTGACGTCAGGCAGGCGGCCGGTCGTAAAACTTTTGCCAAATCCTTTCAGCAGTACAGAGGACGTACTGCGCCGACCCCAAGTGATTGGAAAATGGGCAGGGAGAAGAAGAAGATATGTTCTACACAAACTGAAAAATAATCTTTAGAACAAAACTTATTTATTTTTAAATATAACTTAATTAAATCAGTAACTTTCTATATTTTTTTTTAAATAAGTGACATCGTAATTTATAGTTTTCCAACAAAGCTTTTAAAATAACATTGATTCTTAGACAGATTTGAACTCGAAAATATAGTTAACAATTTTAACTAAGAACTACTTAAACATCATATCAGTGAGTTAAATTATTAGTTTAGATGGCAGTGTTAAAGAATAACGGCTGTATAACTAACTGTGGCGTCTACTAACACAATGCATTGTGGATGTCTAAAATTAACCAAGCTTTGTTTAACCGTGGTGTGAAATTATGTTTTCATTTCCGTTCCTACATTCACATAAATTCATTGATTTACATAACTTGGCACTAATGCTAGTGTTGAATAAGTACCTTTGGGGTTGAATTAATGTTGTTTTCATCTTTAATATGTCCGTTTAATATAAATCTAGTTTGTAAATTTTATTACGTGTAAAATAGTAATTTGACTTCCTGTTCTCGCTAATAAAATACCATTGGTTCTAACTTAGTAAATACTATACACGTATGAGATACTTTTCATATTTTTAAAGCTTTATAAATTACTTATACATATTGATATATTAAATTTAACGTTGATACAAAATTATACACATACAATTCAATTTAATTTTCTTGTTAATGGCTTCAAAGGGTGCCAGTTGAGCACAAATTACTTCGCTAATGGCACACAGATATAGCAAAGATTATGTTATCTTACACATACGTTTACACTTAATATTATATTATTCTTACTGTTTACTTTACATACTCACACTTTATAGCGTAAATAGCTCTCCAGGTAAATTTCTAAGAAATTAATTAAATTTCTAGGAAATCTATTGTTAACTATAACGTCGGCGTGTCCGCGGTCGTTGAGGGATAAAATAATAATACTAATTGAAACACATTTCAAATTGACTTGATTAAAAAGAATGCGGCAAATAATTAGCAAATAAACAATTACAGAGAAAACGTACAGTCGCAATAAGATCGGCTTGTGTTCAAAGATAAGCCATAAGCGAATGAACGCTTTACAGCATTGCATTGTTCGAGATAAGTAAAAGGAATACTTACACTATTTTACTTAAAGAGAAATAAAAAGTATTTTTGAATGTTAGTTTGTACATTATAAATTTGTAGGTTACTAGTTTCTATCTATTGTAATATTATAAAGAGGAAAATTTTGTTTGTTTTTGTTTATATGTTTGTTCATATCGAATACTGAACCGATGTAGATGAAATTTTTGGTAAGAAGTTAGTTTGAGATCCTGGAAAGGACAAAGGATAGTTTTTATTCCGGAAATCATCCTTGAAGGGGGTGAAAATTTGTAAAAGCTTGTATGACGAACCCGAGCAAAGCGTGGGTGAGTCGCTAATCTATACAATATACATATAATAAAATTGTAACTAAGCCGAATCTGTACATTAAATATTTTTTGGAAAATCTTATTGAAATAAATATTATTATCGATACAGAGGCCGATCTATAGTTGTTAGAATTTTTGTCTGTCTATCTGTCTGTCTGTCAGGCTGTCTGTTACAGCATCACAGAAAAACTACTGAAGGGATTTTGATGAAATTTGGTATGGTGATAGCTGGTTATTCGGGTCAACATATAGAATACTTTTTACCGCAGGAAAATGTCTCATTTCAGAGAAAAAATACAAAAACTGTAATGTAAGAGTATACTGATATGTAAAACTTAAGAATTTAATTTTTGGTCATCTGAACGCGGGCGGAGCCGCGGACAGTGCTAGTAATAAATATTTTATTAATATTCAATGATCTGTAAATAAAATGTGATACAAAAATTGATAAAACAACATTACATTTACATAAAATGAATAATACAACGAAATTTATGAAATAAAACAAAATTATTTTATGGCACGAATAAATGCTGAATAATTTCGATAGCTCTTATATTTGGTTTAGTACGGAAAATGTAAACAGTCGGGTACGTATTGCAAACAAATTTCGTAGGACGTGGGACTGCAATCAAGAGCTTAGTACTCACAGTTAGATATCTCATGTACTGACATACGTTACATATATAATAATATATATGTATGTGTGTATAGTAGCTCTATGCTTAAGATAGTAATCTAAGGACTTGGATATTTTGTATTGTTTATACTTCATATCTTAAACAGACTTAAATAGGAATAAGAAGAATACTTTCGTTAAATATATTAGTTTATTTTATCATTACTCTTGTAAATCTTAAACTCAAATTTTATAAAATAACTAGCGGCTCACCCTCGCTTCTCTCGGGTTCGTCGCTAGGTACGTTTTAAATAGATATAAATAGTTACTAGCCAGCGTTAGCCATATAAATTTTAATTATTTTTTTCGTTATTTTTTATTTTTTTTCTCTTTATTAAAACCTTCCGTGGACCTTAAGGAACCTACGAAAAAAACTTTAGCCGATTTGGTCCAGCTATTCTTGAGTTATGCGCTTACCAACATTCATTTTTATTTATATAGAAGATCATGACGAAATTTGTATTATTATTAAAAACTATATTTTATATACCCAATATAGTTATATAAAATCTATATATATAGGCAAAGACAATAGTCGAGTAGCTTTTTCTACTCCGTCGAGCAATTTTTTTTTGTTTCAAGCCATTGACGAGCTTTTTTTTTTTTGGAAGCAGTGACTTTTTTCTAATTAGATGTAATTTCTATTCATATAATATGATTTCCTCAAATTTTTACAAATAATTATAGCCGAATTTGCCACTGGATAAACACTAATACATGTATATATAAATAACTTAAATATTTTATGTTTATATTAATATTGTATAAAGTATAGTATTTTTTGAGTAATGTAGCCTTAGCCTTAGGATTTCTAGTTCCACGTTTGGATTTAATCTATTTCCTGTACCATTTTGTATTTGTTTACTTCTGGCAATACCGTATCTTATCTTATCATTACAAACCCCTTTCATAATTCATGTCGTTAACCCTATTTTTTTCACTTCTTAAAAAATAGATACATTTTGCACTATAACATATATTTTTTAATTGCTTATATGAAATTTTATAAAAAAATTAAATTTTAACATAAATATTTTATTATTTGTAGTCAAAGGACCGTTCATTGAGAACATCATCACTATTTAATATTATGTTTTTCTTGTATACCAATTACTTTCCTGTAAGCAGATGACTGGAAAATAAGCTGATTTCGGATCCTAGACTATAAAGTCAAACCGAATTTCTAGTATAATATATGCACTTCATTAGATAGGCGGTTATACACACAATTGAGACACGACATTCATATTCATACTCCATAACAAAATATTCAGCAAAATTACGTACTCCATAAAGGGTTCGTTTGTTTCCGTTTCCGTAATCAAACGTCTTCACAATATTTCAATGTGAAGATGTAACAAAAGGGCCAAATTCTATGTATTCTACAAGCAATCTGAAAATATAAGCGTTTTACAACACAGAAAACTAACTTTTACAGAGGTTATTCGTGTATAGTAGGTATAGGTAATATTTACATGGTCAAATTACTATTTTATTTTAATAATTAATAAACAAAATTATTAATTTATTAGTTTATTTTATTTACATTAATTGTAACCATTTTAATGCCATGTTAAAAAGCCAATTTCTGATATTATCCAAAGTAATATACTTAAAAAAAAACTATTATTGATTACTTAATACCTGAACTCGAGAGTTTTATATTTTATTCTGTTGTATGAAAAGCGCTCATGTAGAGCACATCATTTCCATTTCAGCGTGTGTGATTGGATACAAATTTGTTTAAAATATTATTTTAAAAATATAACTTTATCACAAAATGGAATATAAAAATGGAATAATATCTCATAAATGAAACATACAGAGAAAAATTATCACAGTAAAAATTATAACAAAGCTTGACTAAGCTTTTAATATCCGACAATAATACATTCGTATCTAACAAATCCTCTAGTCCGTATAAAAGCTGGGATTATACTGCTTAATTTAAAACGTAAATGAACAATGAACATATATTTTGAAATGAATTGTTAAACTCAGGTGGACCAAGAAGAAGGTGACTCGGAAGGATCCGGCCGTTACGGCACCATACCGCCCTTCCCACCGCCGCCGCCTGGATTAGATGGTCAGTTATTAAATAATTATTTTATACTAGCGACTCACCCTAGCTTCGCTTGGGTGCGTCTCTATGTAAACGGATTTTGTTTATAATTTAGTGTTTTTATTTGTGCGCAACCATAATTCTTTTTCTAAAATAAAAGTAGGCTAAGCCTTATAACATCAGCTATCTGCCAGTAAAAGTCCCGTCAAAATTGGTTTAGCCGTATTGGAGGTAGCCCGGAACAAACAAACAGACACACACAAAATTTTTAAATATTATTTTTATCTTATTAAAGAACCATTTTTCAATTAGTTTTTCGTTTTGTGTTTTAACATTACAACAGAGACTTCAATTTTATTTATTTGTATAGAGCCAAGTGTGAAGTTTTCGTATCTATATTTGTAAGTTAGGTATAATCTCTGCAGTTGTAAAATTGATTTTAGGAAATCCTTCACAAAAACATAATATTATACACCTTCCCAGAGAATTCAAGGTTAATTTTAATACATACATCATGCGGCCAAACCCACGGTCGAAAGCTATTATTTTCACCCATTAACTTATATACATACAAAAATCTATCTGATAATAATGAAAATATATTTTCAGTAACGACGTTTAATGTACAATTAAACAGTATATTATGTAATATCAAAAACCTATTACGAGGAACGACCCTACAAAGTTCGTGCGGCTACAGTGTTTGCTCGGATTAACGACTGTTTGTTTTACGCGATACGTAATTACGCCGTGACTTATGAACCCAACTACGCTATTAAGTACAACTTTCTGTACATCTTAGGGTTTAGAACTTCGTATGCTATTTATAAGACCCTAGCAATGCGAATTATAAACACTCAGTTTCAAAGAGGAACTAACTAGACTTGAAATAATCGAAATATTTGCCTCACTAGCTATCACGTACTTACATATGTATTTATTACGTGGCACTGCATTGTTTAAATTGTAATTCGTATCATTGTATCCGCTAAATGGATAAAAATAAAAATTAAACATATAAATAAAGGAAATATCGAAAAAATATGGAAAAATTACCCATACACCCTGCTAAGTACCATGGGGTAATCATAGGTGGTGTCGAATTGTCTTCTGCGCAGTTGGTTAGTCTCAATGATATTTGCCTAAATTGAACAGAAGGGCATTATTTAATTGTTATTATTATTATGGAATACAAACTTAATTTAAAACTTTGTCTATTATATCGATAATTGTATCTATTTTATTCATTTTTTTTTTATTGTTTACAGGATACCCATTACGACTTCGTGGTGAAAAAGGAGAAAGAGGACCAAGGGCAAGATATCACATAATATCTGAATTCGCATGCATATATATATATATATATATACTAATACTCATTTATATATTAAATTATTCATAATGATGTATAATTATTATAATTTAAAGTAAAAATCACTAAAAGTTTTAATTTATATGCGCTGTTTAAAATGTGTAGCATATAGCCCTTTATACTGTTAATTAACGAGTTTGATAAATGAAAAAAATAAGTCTTCTGTGTTCCAAAAAACTCGAGGGTCGACAGTCTCTAAATAAATCGGGCGCGTATGCAAATTAATTCCAAAGCAAATAGACAGCTTATAAATGAAAAAGAGAAGTGTAGAGTCGCCAGTTAACAAACATGTGGGTTGTGAACGCAAAATTCGCAGTTTTTACACAAAGGGCACCCACCCTCCATTATTCTGCCACACGATTTATTGTCTATAGCGCCGCCCACCGTATGTCTCTACGTTTGAGACGTAACAGTAACGACACGTTAAAAATAAAAAAATATGTTTTGTTTATAAAAATAAGTTTATAAATTATTGTATTCTAATTATAAATAAATAAAAATCATAATGTCACACACTTTATGTCTGTCAAAGAAATTATATATTTGTATATATATAATTTTACATATTTTCTTTTAAATTATTTTTTTTTTCATTATTTCTAGTATCGAATCAGATTATTATACTTTTTATGTATGTTTATTTTATTGTCTTCTCATTATGTTAATTAAAAATTTCTTAAATATTTTCGCTACGACATTTTTCCTAATCAATATAAACTTTTTATTCTAAGCATGCTATGTAATGTTAAAAATAAATATGAGAATTATAAACAAAATTTATGTACCGGTATCATGATAGACACTCATTATATGGCACTTAACACTGTTTTGATCACCCATGTTTCATAGCACTCGAGCTCGAAGCCGGCTCGAGCAAACACGTAACGTGATTGAATGAAACATTGCGGATAAAATGAAATAGGCGGCTTCTTTAGTAACAATCATACTACTTACTACTACTGATGCCTGCGGCTATGCTAGCGGTTTCTTTTATTTATACATATTTGGTTTTGGATTTTTTCTAGTATTTTTGACTAAGTCTATACATGTAATAAAATTCTGAGTCAAATCTGTACATTAAATATTTTTTGGAAAATCTTATTGAAATAGACATTATTATCGATACAGAGGCCGAATCTATAGTTTTTATAATTTTTTTCTGTCTGTCTGTCTGTCTTTCTGTTACCGCATCACAGAAAAACTACTGAACGGATTTTGATGAAATTTGGTATGGTCATAGCTAGTTATCCGGGTCAACATATAGGATACTTTTTACCGTGGAAAAATATCTCATTTCTGAGAAAAAATACAAAAACTGTAATGTAACTGTAATGAGTATACTAATATATAAAACCTAAAAATTTGGTTTTTGGTCATCTGGACGCGGGCAGAGCCGTGGGCAATGCTAGTCTCTAATAACATTTGAAATTTATGGCTTAAGACTATAAAATTATATTAATTTTCATATAAACTTTTCTTTCTTTCCTCGGGAACGGAAAAGATCCCGAGCATTTTAATTAAGATTATTAAATTTTATAATAATAATTCATGCAAAAGCTTCCGTATACTTTCTAGTATGGACTTCCAATTTATTTATGATGACTTCAAATTTATCATTCAGTTCTATTTGATGTCAACTTCACTGTTGGGTAATTAGTATATTTTGGTTTACTTTTCTCGAATAAAATATACCTTTGGCCCGATGACCACTTTTACTAAAGTTGATCATATAGATACTCTTTAACTTTATTATAAGTATAATTAATACTTATAATTATAATATAAAATTTCAATAAAAAGTATATTATTAAAAAAAGTATACAATCTATACATGTATAATATAAAACAATTATTTAAGCAAGAGATTCTGAATTATTCGTATTAGAAACGAAACCTTAATTTATTTATATATTCTGCAGGGACCACCAGGAGAGTCCATACGTGGGCCTCCCGGTCCTCCCGGACCTCCAGGACCACCAGGACAACCAGGGACCAACGCTGTCACAGAAATGTCAGGATCTGGAGATGATGTAAGTTTTATTAATAGTGTTGTTTATGAAAAACATATTTTCAACAATTAGAACCTTATATGTACATACATTTCATGAATTAACTAGTATAAGACCGTTTGTGCTATTAAAATGATTCTTAGCCCTACAACTTTTTTAGACTAGATTAGAATTAATTTAATTTTTCTGTGCTATAAACATGCTAACAGTCACTTTGAGATAGTATGAACTAATATTTTGATTTCAAATATCCTCATTGCTTCTTACATACGAGTAACTATCATAGTTAGCTCTCAATCTCAACAACAAACAGGGTGTATTCACTCTAAATTATAATATACACGATGTAAATTAATAAACGACAAACTATGTCTTTGTATGGTAACATTGTGAATAACCTTAAAGCAAATTCCCATGCAGTCTAGACCACACAGTTCGCCATTAACCTGCGGGTATCGCCCACCCTAAGTAAATATTAGAGTGGTACAAGAAATAATGTATGCAAATAAACTTAAAAAAAAACGACTTTAAGGCACTAAAATGAAAAAAATAACTAAACGGGTGTTTTCATTTAGAATAGATACCTAATCAGATATTTTCTAAGTCGGTGCCAGCCGATGCAAAGCAAATCTAATATATTTCGATACGTAAAATACATATTTACCTATTAGATACTCATATCTTAAAATGTTGTCGGCTGGCTGTTATTTTATATTGTTTTATATTCAAAAAAGTGGTAGCCCAGTGGTAACGCGCTCGCTTGGGAAACCGAGTGAAGCGAGTTCAAATCCCGGGTCTCGCGCCTCTGATATTTTCATGTGTGAATCTTTCCAACATGATTACCACTTGTTTAAACTGTAAAGGAAAACATCGTGAGGAAACCTGCATGTCTGAGAGAACCTAGCAAGTTTTCAAAAGACATGTGAAGTCCGCCAATCCGCACTTGGCTAGCGTAGCGGACTATGGCTTGATTCCACTCGTTCTGAACCCGTACCCAGCTGTGGGACGTTAAAAAAGGGCTGAATATATTTAAAAAATCTCGCATAATTTCCTCCTAGAAAACTGTAAACATTTTGATATTAATTTTAACTTTTATAGGTTTATGAAATTGGTCGAAAATCGACAGACGATATGGAAAATAAATACTATTTTAATCGCTTTAAGCTTACATCTAAGCCGTGGCTACAATCTATCTCTATCAACCACATCGCCCGCGTCGCACGTTCGTATCAACCGAACGTGAATAGCCCATTGAAATAACTTCTATACAAATCCTTCCTTGAGGCGAGTGGAGCGATACAATATTAGAAAGACGACTCTTACTTTTTAAAGGCATAATATTGAGAGGTTGCTGTGGTTCCTGATATTTATTACTTTTCAATAAGAACAAGAATGGAATATAAACATCGGTGTTTTCTAAAGAGATTCGCTAACTTCAAAACCACTTTAAAAAAATCATTTCAAATTTAGGTGTATTTAGGTCCATCCTTGTAACATAACCTAATATTGATAAAAAGTTGGGAAAATATATTCTTAAGTGTCACGGATATAGTGTACAACAAAAAGGAAAATATACAACAAAGTTGAGAACTTCCTTTTTGAGTTTTGTCATAACACTCGCGCGTCTTTCAGTAACTTATTTCTATATGTAAATTACTGTTATTATTGCGTTAATGAAAGGTAAAGCAATAAAAAGCACATGTAAAATTAAAATATTACTAGCATCTTTCTTTTATGAACTACATTTTTTTAATTAGACTCTCGAAAATATTGTTCCACAACTTCAAAAATAATTTCTATCATAATTATGCTTACATTCAGTTTTAATTCGGCAACAATATTCCACTACTATTAAGTAGTCACTCAACTTCACATTTTACCTTTCATGTCTTCGTATCCTTAATATTTACTTAAATCTTTCGTCAACTCACCTTCATTTACAACATAAAGCAAAGCAAACATTAGGTATAGAAATAAAAAAATGTAAAATATTGTAGCGATGTAAAAAAAAATCTGGAAATTCTATCTTTTCCATTCAATTTTCCATTAACTGTTCTTATCATATACTTAATTATACAATCTTGAAAATTATTCTTAAACATTGTTTGGGCGTGCTATTTTAACATAAACTCTTCACTCGCAACTAAGCAGCAATGTACATATGTAGTATAATAGTAGATATATATTTATATATACTAGCGACTCGCCCTTGCTCCGCTTGGGTTCGTTAATACGTTTTCATGGTTCGTATAGATTTCTCAAAAATTATATATTCCCGCAGTAAAAACCAAACAAACAAAAAAGCTGGTAACCAGCTATCATCATAACAAATTTCATCAAAATCCGTTCAGTGGTTTTCTCGTGATGCGTTACCAGATAGACAGACAGACAGAGAGACAAAAATTCTAAAAACTATAGTTTCGGTCTCTGTATCAATAATAATGATAAAGATTTTCCTAAAAATATTAAATAACTAGCATTGCCCACGGCTACGCCCGCATATAGATGACCAAAAACTAAATTCTTAGGTTTTACATATTAGAATACTCTTACAATGCAGTTGTTGTATTTTTTTCTCAGAAATGAGATTTTTTCCCGCGGTGTATCGATAACAATGTTTGTTTCAATAAGATTTTCCAAAAAATATTTAATGTATAGATTCGGCTTACTTACAATTTTATTGTATGTATAGATGTACAGATTGACTCAGAATTTTATTCTATGTATAGATAGATATTGATAACAAGTATATTATGACATTGTACATATATCTAGTAAGAAATATAATACAGCTGTAAAATTTGTGTACATAATATTAATGATATATGTACTCGTACATATTATATGACGTAAACATATAACTTCCTTCACTGTAGAAATAGGAAGCTTAGAACAAATTAACTAGTTAAATAGGTAGAATTCATTCCATTTCAGAATATGCTCCTACATCTTTCGAAAGCTGTAGCAATTTTCTAAATGTTAGTTCGAACTACTGTGGAGCTGCGGTTCCCTAAATTGGTGCGATCATAACTAAGTTTACTATGCACTTGGCGCCCGCCCAATGTTCGATAGCAATCGATTCATTTGCTTTTCGTTGTTTTTTGCCATCATACTTGTGGGGTGAATTTTATAATATCTTTTGATGCTCGATTCATTTCTCATAGTGTTTGAAACAATTTTTAAAAACATTTATGTGAATAAAGAAAATTCTTTAAAGGCCAGTTTTATTTATACAAAAGTTAGATTTTCCTAAACTCCCCTGCTATAGCTATTAGCAATATTACTATCACGCACAAAGACAAACTTTTTCAACATATTTACTTTTCTATATACTATAACTAGGTTTGCATGAAGAAAAATTGAATTGGCATTTCACATTGCGTTTAGATAACGATAAAATATTATTATGCAGATACTATAATAATTAGGCAAAATTAAAAGTTAATGTAAATGGGAATTTTGAATGTTTTTATAACCTTATGGCATTTTAAGATAGATGATCAAAATAAAGGAAAGTAGAAAATAAATCTTAGATCTATGAGTGGATGTTTGAAGGCAAAAGAAACGAGGTCCAAAAAGTGTTGCTAATATATAGAGTTGTTAAAGCTTTTCTTTTAAATATCTTTTAAAAAAACTATTAGTAGAAGATTAATTAATATATATTATTTTTTCTTGCTACATTTTGGACTAAAAATAGAGGACTAAAGTCATGGTTTGTAGAGTTATTTTATTAAAATAATAGTAGCAAATATTATAACCGTTTTTGTGTATAATATCAGTTTAGAGAATAATAAGAAATATTATATAGTTAATAAACACTTATTACTATTACTTTACTAATAATAAACGTACTTAAGTTTTTAATTGTCACATACATGAGTTTACAACATTTTTAATATTTCATACCATTAAAAATAAAGTGTTACATACTAAATTATTTATATATATTTTATTTTATAGCAAGTGTTTGGAGAAAACTACGTATCTCTAGGCCAATGCGGGTGCAACTCAAGTGTAATATTATCACTTTTGGAGAGTGCTCCAGAACTGCAAGGTCCTCCAGGACCTCAGGGGTTAATCGGTGCGGATGGACGAACTGGTGCTCCCGGTATCGCAGTAAGTAATTATTTGAAATTGATTAAATTCCCTAAAAACCGTTTAATTGTTACGACGACACGTTTGGTTCAGTTTGTAGTGACCCTACTTGCCAGCGGTTTCGGGATCGAGTCCCGCTGGGGGCATTAATTTGTGTGATGAGCACGAATGTTAGTACTCCAGTTATGGATGTTTATATTTATAATATGTATGTATTTAAAGTTATATATGTGTAGTGTATCAACTATCTGGTATCCATAACACAAGCCTCGTAGCTGGCCATGGAACTAGATGATACTGCATGTATTAATGTCCCAACATTCCTTTTTTTATTTTATTCTTAAAATAATCCTAGACAATACCTGAAAATAAACTATATACGTATAGCTACATATAAGTTAATACATTATCAGTCTTAAGGATTAAATTTTAATAGATAGCTTACCATTTATTCTAACTTGAATATTTATCAAATATTTTAAAGGGCCAACCAGGGGTGCAAGGAGAACGCGGGCCAATGGGTCCACGCGGCGACAAGGGTGATAGAGGTGATGATGGACCTCGAGGACCTGAAGGTCAGCCCGGACCAAAAGGTGAACCGGGCGTGGATGGAAGACCTGGTGTTTCTGGACCTCCAGGACCACCAGGGCCCCCAGGATCTTCTGATTATAGTAATTTTGACGTAAGTACATACATATTTTAGTATTTTCTTTAAGTTCTAAATTGAATACGTAACCCAGTAACAAGTGGGGTTTTTTTTATATCATACTACAAAAATATTCAATTCGATTCAATTTTCTTGTTAATGACATTAAAGCGTGCCAGTTGAGCATAGATTACTTCACCAATGTTATGTAGAATGGAGAAGACACGAAGGAGATTGGTACAAAAATGTTTTTTTTTAATTCTATCAATATTTACTTCAGTTAAAACATTCATTCTTTTTCATGCTTCTTTATTGGGTTATAGTCAAATTGGAAGCCTAGACAAATATACAAGGTAAGTTCACCTATAAATTAGTATCTTTGGTAAATATTAAAACTGCTATGCAGTGGTATAGTTATTTTATGAAAAAATAAAATATAAGAGTGGCAGGAACCTCTAAAATTTCTATAGCTTGTAGAAATTGAGATAGCTCCTCAAATACTTTCACCTAAATTTTTTTTGGTTTAGACATGTTGAATATAATTTCAGAAGAGATATTTTAAGGCCGTGGTAGCCCAGTGGTAACGCGCTCGCTTGGGAAACCGAGTGAAGCGAGTTCAAATCCCGGGTCTCGCCCCTCTGATATTGCCAAGTGCGAATCATTTCCATAATGATTACCACTTGTCTTAACGTCACCGTTAAGGAAAATATCGCAAGAAAACCTGCATGTCTGAGAGAACCTAGCAAGTTTTCAAAAGACGTGAAGTCCGCCAATCCACACTTGGCCAGCGTGGTGGACTATGGCCTGATTCCCCTCGCACTGAAGGGAGGCCCGTGCTCAGCAATGGGAAATTAAAAAGGGTTGAATAAATACATGTATACATACATTTTCAGGTACTCGCTTTGTAAGTTTAGTGGTCGCAAAAGTAACTTTGACAAAAAAATATCTTGGACAATATCTGTAACAAGAAATCTATTTTACCTTTTGATAAAATTATTATTTTAAATGCGTAAATAAATATCAATAGGCGGTAGCGTGTCCAGGCAAGTTCAAGCCGAAGGAACTTGCGACGCAGCACCATGTATATATATTTTACACGAACCATTTCGAGCCACATTTCACCTCGTAATAACTCAAAATCTATTTAACAAAAACTCATGAAATTTGATAAATTTATTAAATCCCCTTAGATTAACTAGAATCCCAAATTTCATAAATACTGCTGAAACGGTTATTAAGATATTAATATCGAAAAATGAGCATTTTTATCACTGACTGACTGACATTTATAATATACTAGCTGCTCATCCTCGCTTCGCTCGGGCTTGTCGCTAGGTACGTTTTAAATAGATATAAATAGTTATTAGCCAGCGTTAATCATATAAATATTATTTTTTGTTAATAATATTGACAAATATTGACATTAATATTTATACGATACTAACGTCACTCAATTGTTTTGCCTTCCCGGAACCTCTCCACTAACACTTAAACTTTATGGTATGGTAATAAAGTTCAAATTGACTTTTAAGTATTATTACGAATCTTTTGTATGGGAGTATAGAAAAGTGTTGTTTTTAGACTTTTTCAGGCAATTTTTTAAATTTTTCTCTCCGTAAGAACCTTCCTCGTACCTACTTCAAGGAATATTCTAAAAAAAGAATTAGCGAAATCGGTTCAGCTGCTCTCGAGATTTGCGCTTAGCAACACATTCAGCGATTCATTTTTATATATAAGAAGATATACATTAAGCTACTTCCCTCTGCTAACTGGTTATAATATATTATTTCAAAGTTATTTTTTTTTAATTTAATTATCTGTATAAATATTATAAATGTGAAAGTTTGTTAGTATGGATGCTGAAATGATCTGGATGAAATTTTGCACAGAGATAGATTATAGTTTGGAATAACATATAGGCTACTTTTTATTCCGGAAAAATGCACGTTTTCACATTCCCGTGTGATAGGTTTGTTTTTGTTTTCCTAGAGGCGAACGCGAGCGAAGCGAGGGTGAGCCGCAAGTATTATTATATTTAATCTAAAATAATTTACACAAATGAAGGGCGATCTTACTTCAGTAGTTAAACTATAATAAAGTTCCAATCTATATAATATAAATTACGATGACAAGAACCTTTATCAAACGCATAATATGTTATTATTAAATCGGCAAAAGGCAGACAGGATGGAGTTAAGAAACTACCTTTACCCCACAAGCGCTGAAGCGTGACATTTTTTTGGTTTTAAATGAATATTGTGTGTATAATAATTTAATTTTTTTTGTCTCTACATATTTTAATACTAACTACGAGTATATTAATTATTCATTTAATGTTTATATTGAGCTGTAAAAAATATGTAATTTTTACAAAGGGTATTACAAGATTTAGATATTATTTAGTAAGTCAACTAAAAGAACTATCTAATTTCTATTAAAATAGTTCCTTTCCCTCGAATAACTAGTGTTTTTATGGTGGGAAATACATTGACGCATACCACCTGTATACATACAGATGGTTATCTGGGACTCACCGGCTTAAGAAAAACCAGTACTATACACTAAAACCCACCAGAACCAACCCATACCACAACTTAATGGGGCGTCGCAGGATCACTCGACCGCGATGCTCCGACGGCAGGTCTATGTAGCAGACCACATAACGAAGAGGTTGCTCCCACGGTCCACTTTGCTGTCAGAGACCAATAGAGTACCAGAAGCAACCCGCATGGTACACCGCCCACCGAAGTGGGCCACCCTAGCTTGCCTCTTGGCTTCCCGCCCGGCTGGGTTGCCGGACTTTAATGAGCCTCCCCCCACCACGACAAGCTAAACACACATAACTCTGGTAGCAAACAGTATGTGTTATGTTTTGTACCTATGTGTTACTCCAGGTTCTATCTACATAAGTATATATCTTTGTACTAGATTTCATCCGAATCTGTCCAGCCGTTTCAGTGTGAAGAAGTAACAAACATACATACACATACAAACTATCGTATTTATAATAGTAGTCCGATGTTATTTTCATGTAAACTAAAACGAATGTCTTTTCGGAAGGACTATTGTCTCTTTCAGTACCTATTTAGTAAACAAACCGCTTCAACAAACTTTAGAAAACAACTTATCATTCTTGATACACATCGAGGACGGGAGATAAGAAAATTTATTTGAGCTGTCGCTGCCAAAAGTTTGTATCTATATATAATTAAGAATAATTTCTATTTCAACAAGCAAATAACTTAAATCTTTAATGGAATAAGGTCTATACACTAGATGTTAATTATTTATATACACCATATATTTGTATACATATATATTTGTATACACCATATTAATATTTTAATTTACCTAAGAATATTCTTTAATTACTTAATTATTATTTAATTATCTTTAATTATCTTTTATACACACTATAATTTATTTAAGAATTAAAAACTATTCTAATTTACCTAAGAACTTGTTGCAAAAACTATTCATTGCAATAATTTAATAAATTAAGTACGTGGACGACTACTGGGTGTTGGCGCTTGTTCAGTAGGTTCCATCCATTCCCCCCCAACGTGCGTTCACCTTGTCGTGGTGGGGGGGCTCAGTAGTGCCCGGCAACCCAACCGGGCGCGAAGCCAAGAAACGCACAGGGAGGTGGCCCACTTCGGTGGGCGGTGGGAGGTGGCCCTCTTCGCAGGGCGGTGTACCACGCGGGTTGCTCCTGGTACTTCTCTGATAGCAGAGTGGACCTTGGAGCAACCCCGTGGTTGTTGTGGTCTGCTTTGGCAGACCTGCCGTCGGGGCGTCGTAGTTGAATGCGTAAGCGATCCTGCGACGCCCCATTAAGACGGGGGAAGGCTTTGTTGGGTTTTAGTGGGTAGTACTGGCTTTGCCGGTGAGTCCCACACCTCGTGCGTAAATGCATTTCCCAACGTTAAAAAAAAAAAAGGTTCCATCCATTGGCGACAAAGCAAGTACCACAAAAAATTACGTGATGGTGCTTTATGACATTGTCACCAATCACCTTGAGAACGGTCAGAAAAAGACTAATATATAATTATGTAGTTAAAAAAAATGCGTTTTTTTTGTGAAAAATTGAATTTTCTCTGAAAATACACCTACATAGATAAACTTAAAAAAATATATTTACATAAATAAAAAATCCGACTGCCTAAAAAGCGAACTAAAAAGATGAAAACAAGTAGACGAAGGAACATAGTATTATGCAGGCGGAGACATACATATGTACATGTTTTATAATGGCTGCGTGTGTGTATGTCTTAATTCCTCATTCTGCCATGAAAGAAGCAAAACCTTATCTAAATACAAAATTTGATCTAAATCGTTAGAGCCGTTTTCGAGATACACGAAATAAATTTATATACATACTAGCATTGCCCGCGGCTCCGCCCGCGTTCAGATGACCAAAAACCAAATCCTTAGGTTTTACATATTAGTATACTCTTACAATGCAGTTTTCGTATTTTTCTCAGAAATGAGATGACGATAATGTCTTAACATATCTTAACATATATTTGCACACACAATTTTGGCTGTTGAATGATTTATATTAAACTCGTAACTCAGCAACTCTTGGTTTAAATCAAAAGTGTGCATAGTGTTCTCGATTATTACTATTTTTCTTTCTTTTTTTCTTAATTCTTTACTAGAGCATTCTCTAGTGGGTTACACGAGACCCCAATCTTTCAAATTTCTGTCATCTGCGGTCTCCGAGTACATTCTTAAGTCATTCTGTGCCAATAATGATGGTAGGGAATTACGAAATATTTAGAATTTTTGCCCATTGATTAAGTAACCCTAAAACTTCTTACAAAAGCTGTTTATAGCTCAAAAAATTCAAATACAATCAATTTATTCATAGTTTATTTATTATTACAATTAATTCATTATTCTGTCATTTTAAAATAATAAAAACTAAATAAATATTTAATTATTTATGCAAGTATTTAAAACAATCGCTTCTTAATAGGTTTTTATTTATTTTATTATTAGTTTCTACATACTATTAATTACATAATATATACTGTCTAACTGTTTTTATACTGCAGAACATTCTCGCTCTGGCTTCATCTTGAGTTGACTTTCGAGTACATGACAATTATACAGGGTTATTAGTAATTCGACGTATTCCTGTTAGGAGGTAATAGGGTTATTTGCGATAATTTTAACTCCCCATATGCATTATGCAAAAGTGGACAGTTTTTGAGTTGATGAGTTGAGTTATCATGTTTTTTACCTTTTTTCAAAATAAGTCAAAAATGCAACATCAAAAATGTATTATAAAAAAGTATCGATTTAAATCACAGTTTTTCTTCTGATTTATAAAAATGATTAAACACTGGTTATTTATCAATATTAAAATAACAATTATCGGTCCAAATTTAAAAATGCGAGACGAAAAACGATATTATTTCAAAAAAAAAGAGATTTTTTTCACTAAAATGCCTTAAAAACAAAAAAAACGTTATCAAAATTTGGCTTGCAGATTATTTTAAAAACATAACCGTTTTCTTAGCTCTCCAACAATGCATAACAACTAGGAACTTATTTCAAAGAAACTGAAAAAAAATGATTACAAAGGAAGCCGGCGGAGATTCGTATTCGAACTAAATTTAAGGTCGGGATAAAATCGTTGGATAGGGCGAGGAGGACCCATTCCGTGGCCTGGGAGGAGTCCGGACTATTGCATAATGCATATGGGGGTTAAAATTATCGCAAATAGTCACTCCTATAACCTATTAACGGGAATACGTCAAATTACCAATAACCCTGTATATTAGGTATTTGTAGGTTCATAATTACCCTGTTAATATCCATACAAATTCAAAATTTACAAAAACAATTAAACATACAAAATAAATATGTTCAAAGCTTTCATTAGGCTGGAAGAATCATTTTATTACCTTTTCAGGAATCGTTATTGGGATCATATGGTGGAGCAATCGGAAGACCTGGAGCGCCAGGTCCTAAAGGTGATGCAGGTCAACCCGGCCCAATAGGGTTGCAAGGAGAACGAGGCTTCCCTGGTCAAAAGGGAGAAAGAGGACAAATAGGACAAACTGGACCAAAAGGGGATCGAGTAAGTTTTGAGCTTCTATGATAAAATTAAAAAATAAATACAGTTTTTTTATTAATCGCTTCATTTTTAGTTATATTATATAGATATACCTACGCTAAATAGCACTCCTATACATGATAATAACTAATTCTAATTATATATATATATATATATATATATATATATATATATATATATATATATATATATATATATATATATATTTCATTTGCATAATTGGTAGTTAAAATAAAATATTGCTTGTCTATTAAAATTTGATTAAAATCATTATATTGATATCTATTATTATTTATTTTCATCCATTTGCATGATACTTGCAGAATAATTTTCAATACGATATAAATATGAGTTATATCGCATTTTTAATATTTTTAATTATTAGGGATATCCCGGTTCTAAGGGTGATAGAGGACTTAAAGGTGACCGTGGAGGTTCAGGGTTTGATGGTCGTCCCGGAATTCCGGGTTCTAATGGAAGAATTGGTGACAAGGGTGAAAAAGGTATTAGAATCAAAGAAATAATTTAAAATAATATATTCTATTATTAAGTATATTAACTTCTTATTTATGAAAATACAAAACTTTTAGCATTTATATACGTTTAGAACTACATTTTAATTATTATGTCTCGTTTTGACATAACTTAGGTGAACGAGGTATACCAGGTCCACCTGGGCCACCATCCTTATCCACTGGAGTTATAGGTTTAGAGGAATCAGAATACCTAACCACAGGTTAGTTATATTGATTTAATAATTATTATAAAAATATATTTTAATTTTACTACAAATTTAAAATTAATTTATGGGGTGTATTTATTTAAGGTCTACGTCCAACTGCTGATAAAGGAGATAAGGTAGATTTCAATAGTATTATTATTTTATTACAATGTAATATTGGTTATTTATACTAATAATAAAGCTGCTGCATTTGTTTTTTATTTGTTTATACGCGCTAATTTATGAGATTACTTGTCATATTGGAAATACTTTATTATGCGTTACGCACTGCCTCGGTGACCGATGTTACCAGCTCCCTCAGTGCTGTAGTGACTAGCATGTACGGCTGAACATCCGGAGGTCCTGGGTTTCGAGTTCTGGCGGTGCTCCAGCCCCGTGCCTTACCCGTAAAAATAAAAATCGGTTATGTTACCAGAGCAAAAACTATATCTGTTTGTGTAAAATGTACACATCAGTTCATAAGTTTAATTATAAAAAACCTTTTTAATATCATTATATTTTTTGTAAAACTTACTCAGGGGGAGAAAGGCAGTCGAGGTACTGATGGAACTCCAGGAATTCCAGGTAAAGATGGAAAATCCGGAGAGCGAGGTGATATTGGTCCATCAGGGATGCCCGGCATATCTGGTCCACCAGGGCCATCTGGTCTTAAAGGTGAAAGAGGAGAGAGAGGTCCGCCTGGGCCAGTAAGCATTACCAGTGGTGGCTCTGAAATTATTACAGTCAAGGTAAACTATTGTAATAAAATGTAATCGTTAATAAATTGATATATAATTTAAATTATTTTTTATATTCTTAATTATTTAATTATTGTTTTCATTACTCAAATATTCCCATTTAGTAAGCATTTGGTTACTGGGTTACTTAAAATAATAACATTATTCAAAATATAATATCATATACTTGTAAAATTAACTTCTATTGGTATTCTTCTAGGGTGATAAAGGTGAACCAGGTTTAAGAGGAAGAAGAGGAAGACCAGGTCCACCAGGACCTCGTGGACCACAAGGCTTGCAAGGAATCCCGGGAAATCCCGGGAAACCAGGCGATAAAGGTGACATTGGCTTACCTGGATGGATGGTAAGTTGAAATGAAATAAATACTAATATAAAATATTATTGGAATATTTTCGTTAAGTATTATTTATAATACTGTTTTATATTTTCATGCCGATCAGAACTCAAAGGTAAATAATAACTTATAGTGCAGAATTATAATACAATTGAAAATATGTATTCTCTAACCATTAGTGCTTATAAATTACTGCTCGATTTTCCAAGCATATTTTTTTTCTCTGTCGTGTCTATATCAGTAGTTTAATACGTATCCGTCTTTAATACAATCTTAACTTGCAATTAACTTTATATAGGGTCGTCCTGGCACATTAGGACCTCCAGGAGTCCCAGGTATTGCTGGACCAAAAGGAGAGAAGGGAGATCCTGGAGTAAACCTTCTAGATATTTCTATGGTAAGGTATTTTCTGCATGTTCTATCCTTTTATAATTATTATAAATAATAATTAAAATCCTATGTGATATTTACACATATCTAGTTCATCATTAATGCGTATTAATGTAAATTAAAAATAAAATTTAAATATAAATTTAAATAATATGCAATTCGTTAAAAAAACTCGACCCGTGGTGTTGTCTCACGGATTATTTTTTTGGCGTTCCTTACGTCTACTTAAATAAAAAGGCGTTCAACAAAAAACAAAAGAACTTTTATTATAGAAGTTTTATTTTACGTTAGAAGTCATTTAGAAAAAATAACAAAATAAAAATAAATTGGTAACAGTTGAAAGGCGATAAAGGTGATCGAGGCCTCGACGGTACGCCTGGTATTAAAGGAGTACAGGGTCCCCCAGGACCCCCTGGCCCAACGTCTAGGTCGGACCCAATGCAGTACGTGCCGGGGCCCCCTGGACCTCCCGGACCCCCTGGACCTCCTGGGACCCCTGGCATATCTATAGTAGGACCCAAAGGCGAACCAGGGGTTAGTTACATCGACGAACCTGTACATGGGAGCCCGAAATATTTTGGTAGACCAGGTAAAAATAATATTCAACTAATTTTAACTCCTTCAAATTAGTATATACGTGAAAAATTACGATGATAACAATATAAACATATCCTCTACATTTACCTACTCGTAGCAATAATATTACGAGTATATTAACAATCCAGTTTATGTTACAGTGAACAGTTACTATACTTACATAACTAATAGATTGTGTACCTAATTTTGCATATTAATTATATAAAATAATAATAAAAATGTCGTAGAATTATAATATATTAATACTTTACAAATTATTCTGATGCACGCTGCTAAATAACAGTTGTGAAGAGTCCACTCGATGCAATCAAAGCGTTAAAAGATCTAGAAGATCTAAAAGATCTCAAAGATAGAAATAGAGATCGCTCACGTAAGTATTAATATATCATCATGTATATATATCTTATACTAAATTATACTACGGCAATAAATTACTATGTTATATTTATTTTTGATTTATTGAATAGTTGTCTTCGCTTGCGTCTCTGACCATGCTTAACGACGTTAAAATGCTCTATGTCATTAAAACTTCTAGTGATAATCACTTTAAAACGTTCAAGCTGTTGTTATTCTCTCTCGTTTGGCTCAGTTTGTAGTGATACTAGCTATGCCAGCGGTCGTGGATTCGAGTCCCGCTGGGGGCATCCATTTGTGTGATGAGCACGAATGTTTGCACTCCAGTCATGGGTGTTTATATTTATAATATGTATGTATATAAAGTTATATATGTGTAGTGTATCAACTATCTGGTATCCATAACACAGGCCTCGTAGCTTACCATGGAACTAGATGGTGATGTGTGTTAATGTCCCAACATATTTATTTATTTATTTACCAATTTTTCTTTCCCAAATAAAGAAATGACTTACCTCTAGGTCAAGTCTTCTAACTACAAAAAACTGTTAAAAATCAGTATTGTAGTTGCAAACTTAAGCGACAAACAAACAGAGAGGCAGCTGAAATTGAAATGGCTAATACAAAATAACAGGCTGACACTACAATTTTATTAATATACTAGCATTGCCCGCGGCTCCGCCCCCGTTCAGATGACCAAAAACCATATTCTTAGGTTTTACATATTAGTGTACTCTTACAATGCAGTTTCTGTATTTTTTCTCAGAAATGAGATATTTTCCCGCGGTAAAAAGTATTCTATATGTTGACCCGGATAACCAGCTGTCTTCAAACCCAATTTCATCAAAATCTGTCCAGTGGTTTCGTTGGTGTCGTGATGCGGTAACAGACAGACAGACAAAATTCTAAAAACTATGTATTCGGACTCTGTATCGATAATAATGTCTATTTCAATTAGTTTTTCCAAAAAATATTTAATGTACAGATTCGACTTAATTACAATTTTATTATATGTATAGATTTACTTAAATATATACAGATCGTAAGATTTATTCAGAACTTACTAGACCAGGGTCGATAATTTTTAAAACCAAAAAAAATAATAGTAGGATGAAACCCATTAGAAAAGGAGGGGAATATTATAAAAATGAAAGGAAAAATAATTTACGGGCGATCTGAGGTCGGGAAGGGGATGGGGGTGAGGTTTTAAGGGTAAAAAACGGTTTTTCTCGATTTCCGGCAAAACTAAAAGTCAATACTATACATATAACATACGGCAAAACTAAAAGTCAATACAATACTATACATATTTTTTATGTATAAATATTTAAAAAATATGTATAGTAAATATATATATATATAACTAACTTTTGGCCGATTTTCATGTATATTTCATATATTTTATTATAGATTTTTAATATACAGGGTGGCCGGTCAATTGACATCATAAAAAAAAATTTAGGTCCGGTATGTTGTGGGGTATACGAATCACCCCCATGTATGTTACGCGATTTTTTATAGTTTAGGAGTTATGAATTTTTTTAGATTTTTTGAGAAATTTCGACTTGACTATTTTAAAAAAAAGTCTAAAAAAAAAGAAAAAGACTTTAGAGTTTTATTTTTTTTCAACTGAATTCGCATGAGTTGTACTTTTATGCATAAAATAATTAGCTTCGTACCTTTGATGAAAGTTATGAAAATGTTGGTCTAAAGTCAAATTTTTACGTTCCGTGAATTAGGACTTAAATTTTCAACTATAAATTACAAATCTAAACAGGTGACCTTATGATTTCTTAGTTATTCTTAAAAATGCGGCAGATTTTCAGCTTTCATAATAATAAAAGAAAAGCTGTACTTAATAGGGGAAATTTGGCTAAAATCGGTCTTCAAAAACAGCAAGGTGGAGAATTCTTAAAATTAGCCAATTGATTAAAAAAAAATCTATCATTCTTAAGACTAATTAATTATTAGAAAATGCTGGAAACCTATCGTGTTGGTTGGATAAGAAAAGTTTTAAGTAAGAACGAGATCATAATGTTAAAATAATTTAATATTTTTAAAATTTATAATAATTTGTCAACGTGGCCACCTCCAGAGGCAATACACATTCTACACCGTCGTAAAAACGGCAACTTTTACCTGCAATAACAATGGGCTGAAAGGATAAAAAACTGTATTGCTATCTCTCTCACTCTCGGTGGCGTGAGGGCCCGAGCGCAACCGATCAAAGCTAACGCAAAACTAGTTCGTTAGTTACCGATCTCAGTAGTGCTCACATAGTGTTTACTGCTACTTGTGTCGCCATTTTGTTATTGCTCACGGACTCCGCCTCTGCTTACTTGTTTCATTACTTAGCTCGTTTACTGGACTGTTTTGCATTTTGATTTGGATTTTGTTTACTTGGTAGTGTAAGAGATGAGTTACACGTTAAGTGAATATGCAGAAATGCATTATTTTTATGGAGTTGCACAAGGAGACGGCGTTAAAGCAGCGCGTCTGTATCGCGAACAACTTCAACGCCGTGGTGGACCGCAACCTCCGCGATATCCCGACCACCGTGTTTTTATAAACACACACAATGCTTTAATGGCAGGCCGCATTCCTGGTCAACGCGGCAATCGTGAAGTTATCCTTAGAGCAGACCCGGATCGCACAGAAGTGGTGCTGGAAGCAGTTCAGCGAAATCCGTCTACAAGTACGAGAGCTATGGCCCGTGCTTTAGACATCCCAAGGACTTCTATCCAAGCCATACTTCACGATGAAGGATACCACGCGTTCCACTTTCGACGAGTCCAAGCTTTACAGCCGACAGACCACCAATTGCGCATTGATTTTTGCCAAACCATGTTACAAAAAGAGCTAGATGATCCTGGATTTTTCAATAAAGTGTTATGGTCAGATGAATCAAGATTTGAGCGATCTGGAATATTTAATATTCATAATTATCACACGTGGGCAATTGAAAATCCACACGCTGTGAGAGCTTCAACGTTTCAAAATCGCTTTGGCTTTAACTTGTGGTCTGGTGTCCTCAATGGTGAACTAATTGGCCCGTTTGAATTGCCGACCAGACTTGATGGAGCAACTTACAAAAACTTCTTAGAAAATGAACTTCCATTGTTGCTGGAAGATGTGAGTCTCGAACTTAGACGTACTATGGTATTTCAAAATGATGGCGCTCCATGTCATTACGCAACACAAGTACGAAATTATTTAAATGCAACATACCCCAACAGATGGATAGGACCAATTAGATGGCCTCCACGCTCACCTGACCTCAATCCTATTGATTTTTTCATTTGGGGCTATTACAAAGAAATAGTATACACCCGAGAATGTTTGAGTGAACAAGAGCTGAGGCAAAATATTGCAGACGTCCAACGTGTTGTCAGAGAGAAAAGAGAAGCATTTAGACGATTAAAACACATTTTTTTACGACGGTGTAGAATGTGTATTGCCTCTGGAGGTGGCCACTTTGAAAACTTATTATAAATTTTAAAAATATTAAATTATTTTAACATTATGATCTCGTTCTTACTTAAAACTTTTCTTATCCAACCAACACGATAGGTTTCCAGCATTTTCTAATAATTAAGTAGTCTTAAGAATGATAGATTTTTTTTTTAATCAATTGGCTAATTTTAAGAATTCTCCACCTTACTGTCTTTGAAGACCGATTTTAGCCAAATTTCCCCTATTAAGTACAGCTTTTCTTTTATTATTATGAAAGCTGAAAATCTGCCGCATTTTTAAGAATAACTAAGAAATCATAAGGTCACCTGTTTAGATTTGTAATTTATAGTTGAAAATTTAAGTCCTAATCCACGGAACGTAAAAATTTGACTTTAGACCAACATTTTCATAACTTTCATCAAAGGTACGAAGCTAATTATTTTATGCATAAAAGTACAACTCATGCGAATTCAGTTGGAAAAAAATAAAACTCTAAAGTCTTTTTCTTTTTTTTTAGAATTTTTTTAAGATAGTCAAGTCGAAATTTCTCAAAAAAACTAAAAAAATTCATAACTCCTAAACTATAAAAAATCGCGTAACATACATGGGGGTGATTCGTATACCCCACAACATACCGGACCTAAATTTTTTTTTATGACGTCAATTGACCGGCCACCCTGTATTTATAATATATTTTTTATACATTTTGACATTTATTTCTTTAATATATTTTTTTTCATGGGGGTATACTCACGATAAAATAGTGAAGGCATTATTAATTCGATTTTGTCTTTTCAGATTATTAGTATGGATGAATCTGTTTGTATCATCTGCAATAAGGCAGATGCTAAGCAAGTGTATGAAATAAAAAAGGTTTTTTGTTTTTTTTTCATTTTCTCAGAAGATTTACTATAGTAACATATATATATTTTTTTCACCATCGGAAAGTAGAGATTTCAACAAACAGAAAACATACCAACTTTTTGAAAAAAGCTGATATTTTGACGGGTGAATTTTCGATTGAAAATTTGGGTGCTTTTTCGATATTAATTCAAAATAAGGTGAAAAAATAGATATTTTTAATTAAATAAATTACAGCGTATTTGGGACATAAAAAGGTAAGTTTTCACCAAATTTCGTTAAAACAAAAACATTTTTGTAAAAGATAAAAATAAAAAACCAAAAACTTGTTTTTTTGAATTTTTCACATATATTTTGAGGTTATGTGAAAAAAGTGTAAATACAAAGGTTTTAGATCTTTTTGTTACCTACAACTTTGCCATTTGACTTTTTTCGATAGGACTTTTAGTTTTGCCGGAAATCGAGAAAAACCGTTTTTTACCCTTAAAAACTCACCCCCATCCCCTCCCCGACATCAGATCGCCCGTAAATTATTTTTCCTTTCATTTTTATAATATTCCCCTCTTTTTCTAACGGGTTGCATCCTACTATTATTTTTTTTCACTTTTTATTATTTTTAAAGGCTTCTACCCTGGTCTATACCGACTAACTTTACTTAATATACATTTTACAATTTAAAGTACAGATTTAGTATGAGATGAGAAGAAAAGAACCAAAAATAGATTTTTTTTTTGAGAATTAAGATTTGATTTTCTTGTCTCGAAGATATGAGACTCTTTGACTATTGTTGCCTAACGTTTATATGAATATTTTTATTTTAGCATTTTCCTCACATGAACTAAGACAACACTATGAGGAACAAAATACCCAAAGAAACGTACCTGGCGCTGCTGTGTTTCAAACGACAGAAGAAATGATGAGAGTACGTTAAATATATAATTAATCTTAAGTTAATATAATAAAAATTATAGATTCGGCCTCTGTATCGATAATAAAATCTATTTCAATTAGCTTTTCCAAAAAATATTTAATGTACAGATTCGGCTTAGTTACGATTTTATTATATGTATAGATTATAAATTCGATACATAAGAGTTTTTTAAGAAATTTCGATATCGGTGTATCTTTCTAGTTTAAAAGTAATAAATGGAAATATGTAAAAATACTCAAATAAAATATATATATTAAGTAGGAACACTCGTAAATAAAATACATGCACTCGTTGGTAAGCGCATCATTTAAGAATGGTTGAACCGATTTAGTTATTTTTTTTAAATATACATAATAATAAGTTTTGTAGTTTAAGTAATAGGTTTGATAAAGTTATTAGAATCATTAATTCATTTTTAAAATCATTCCATATATGTATTTTAGCTTGCATCGAGCAGTCCTGTTGGAGCTTTAGCCTACGTCATTGAAGAACAAGCATTATTTGTAAAAGTCAATTCTGGCTGGCAATATGTATTGGTAAGTATTTAAGACTATAACTATCGTTAACTACTGGAATGAGAAAAACATTCTACATGAGAAAAACACGTCGTAGACGTAGACTAAATATAAACAACCGCCTTATGACGTACAAAATATTAGTTTTATTAGAAAGCAGATAATAAACTCGCTTGATAAACGTATAATGACATAATGAGACATAATATGTATTATGTAACAAGACTCATTCTCACTGATAACCTATATAAATAAAGGTTCTTAAACTATAAATGTATATTTTTTCATCGAATTTACTATTTTTTAATATCTTAAGCGCTAGCATTTACTAACTCACTAACTTCTTTTTATAATTGTCATATCAAAATGAAGCTTTGTAAATACCTATGTGAAATCGGAATCTATCTGATGATGAAGTCAGGAGGTGGATTACAGAGGAGAAATGATAACTGAGGTTCCTTTCCGTTTAACCAAGTTCCTTACATTGCAATTGATGATGCGTGTTTTCAGTATTTTATAGCTAACTAGCATTGCAAGCGGCTCTGCCCGCGTTCAGATGACCAAAAACCAAATTCTTAGGTTTTACATATTAGTATACTCTTACAATGCAGTTTTTGTATTTTTTCTCAAAAATGAGATATTTTCCCGCGGTACAAAGTATCCTATATATTGACACGGATAACCAGCTATGACCATACCAAATTTCATCAAAATCCCTCCGGTGGTTTTCCGTGATGCGGTTGTAGACAGACAGACAGAAAAAATCTAAGAACTATAGATTCGGTCTCTGTATCGATAATAATGTCTATTTCAATAAGTTTTCCAAAAAATATTTAATGTACAGATTCGACTCAGAATTTTATTATATGTATAAACTATTCTAACTAGTATTCTTCCTGTGTAAAAAAAACTGTTTTCGAATGTTTTTATTCATAACACTAAAGCTTGTCAACGGCTACAGAACAAAAAATAAAGAAAATCAGTTGACAAACAGAGGAGAAAAAGTACTGAAATGTTTTGTCTTTGCTTGTTTATTTATAGGCTATACATTTAAAGTATTTGTTTTTTATATAAAAGCTGGGGTCACTAGTCACCCTATCCGCCCCAGGAACGACCACGCCGGCGCCACAGACACCTCCTATGCCCGCTGCCAGCCTTGTACACATGCCGCAGATATCAAATCTAATAGAAAACTCGCCACCAATCATCACTCCAACTGGACCTAGCGTAAGTAATACAAAATACATATTAATAATATTGATACTATTAATTTAAAATGCGCATTTTGGAAGGTCAGACAAATTAAATTATGCGGAGGGCCATGAAGATAAGAAAATGTTACGGCAAATTTAAATTGAAATATTTTTTATGTATACATATTATGTATATTATGTACCTGCCTCGGTGGTGTAGTGGCTAGCATGTACGGCTGCACCACCGTAGGTCCTGGGTTCGAGTCCCGGGTCGGGCCAAGTTTACTTGTTGAGTCTTTCTGTATAAGTTAGCCTCAGTAACAGTCCGGAGTTGGGAAGTTGGCGGTATTTCACCCCCGTGCCACGGAGAGCACGTAAAGCCATCGGTCCTGCGCCTTAACTCTCACTGGTCGTGTCGAGTGGTCGTCCCACCGGAATATGAGAGTGACAGGAATGGAGAGTGCACTTGTGTCTGCGCGTACACTTGTGCACTATAATAATATCTCCTGCGCAGTTGGCTAGTCTCAATGAGATTGGCCGCCGTGGCCGGAATCGGTCGGGAGAATATCACATCATGTATGTTTATGAATGTATAAACTACAAGAGTCCGGTTCTTCCTTCTTCCAACTTTTCTCAAATTGCACGAGACTGTGCTTTGTTGTAAGCCACCATGTTGGGTTGCTTTATATGTTGCCCCTAAATTACTCTGATGTTGTGTTATTATAGATGATGGCTATTTCTTCCTCGAGTAATACTTTCAGCAACCTCTCGTTTCCAATCTCGAAGGCTTGTAATTATTGAATTATGATGCTTTCGTGTACGTCAGTCCGATACGATAGCATAAGTTATTATACTTATGGTATCGTATTATTACTCCCATATTATAATCTTACAATTATTACTTAATTTATTATTAAATAATAAAAGACAAAATTAATAAAATTCTCAACACCTAATGTTAAACTTTGTTGATAATGGTGTAATATTAAATGGGGAAGTGTTAAAACGTGTAGAATCCACTAAATTCCTAGGTATTATCATAGATAAATTGCAGTGGGGCCCCATATTGAGAGGCTTGCGAGTAGACTCAGCTCTGCAGCGTTCGCGGTAAAAAAATAAGACTTCTTACTGATGTAGATACAGCTCGCATAGTATATTTTAGTTATTTTCATAGTATTATGTCCTATGGTATCTTACTATGGGGTAATGCAGCTGCTATTAATACGATTTTTGTCCTGCAGAAAAGAGCTATTCGTGCAATTTATAATCTAGGTCCTAGAGTGTCATTAAGAGATAAGTTTAAAGAAATAAAAATATTGCCTGTTGCTTCTCAGTACGTGTACGAAAATGTTATGTATGTCCGTAAAAATATACACAAATTTCCCAAGAAGTGTGACATGCATAACATTAATACTAGGAGCAAGCACAAACTTGTTATGCCTGTGACTCGTCTACACAGAGTCAGTAATTCTTTTTATGGACAATGTATACACTTGTAATACAGGATCCCAGAAAATGTTCAAAAGGCCTCTATCGCCAAATTCAAAAAAAATGTTAAAGAACGTTTGTGTGCTAAAGGCTAAATAAATGATTTTATAGAAGATGGCACACCTTGGGAATGAAATGATCGCCACCAGGCTACTTCAACTTGATAGAAATATAGTAAATTATAATTTTACGTTAAAAAAAGATAACAAGCTAATATTAGCGGTCGCTGAGTTTCTTTCGCCAGTTCTTCTCAGGTCTGAGGCTTCTTCTTTCCGAACTGGTAGTAGACTCATGACGTTCAGTAATAAATTGTAATAATTTAATGCTGAATAAAATATATTGAATTTATAATTTTATGAATTTTACAAATTTCTTGAAAAACATGTGATTTGCTGTTTATTTCTTTAGATTTCATTTTTTCAATTTGAGATACTGAACCGGTAGCATTTTTTCCTATTTCGCGTCATTTAATTCTTCTTGATTTGGAATAGCAAACGCCTTGGGCCTTTTCGTTAAATAATCCATTGCAACCAAAATTTTCGGTCGATTGCTTGAATTAATACTTGGAAATGGTCCCGTTATATTAGCCTTAGTAGAATTTCCCAAAGGCAATTTTGACTTCCACCCTGGGTGGCATAAATGCACGTTACGGCAAAAAAAATTATCACACCTCAGTTACAAGTATGGTATACTCGTAGTAGTAGTGCAAGTACCTTTTATTTAAGTTTTGTGAGACACATACAAAACAAATTTCAGAAATGTAACTCGAATAGTCTCCGAGCAAAACAACTGTGATATATAGAACAAAATTATAAGGGTTCCGGTTGAGCCTTAAATTAGAAATTAATACTTAGGTTAAAGGAAATACTTAGGTTTCACAATGAAGAGAGATTTCTCTAGATACTTATATTATTATAATATTTCAGCTTCGATTAGCCTCCCTCAACGAACCATTATCTGGTAATATGCATGGAGTGCGTCGCGCTGATTACGCCTGTTACCGGCAAGCAAGGAGAGCCGGCTTGAAAGGAACGTTTAGAGCCTTCCTTACTAGCAGGTGAGAATGAAATAGGCTATGAGAGCTAAAATAGCCAATACGCTTAAAACGATTCTTTATTAATCATTTTTTATGTTAATTTTAATTCTTATTTTTTTATTTATAACACTTTATTGCACATGAAAATGGTACAATAACAAAGATAAATACAATTAAAGAGATGCAAAGGCGGCCTTATCACTAAAAGTGATCTCTTACAGGCAACCGATAGAAAAAGATACAAAAAAATAAGTGAGAAGAGCGGAAAGGTGCATAAAGTGCAAATAATTAAAACTTAATATAAATAAATATACGTATATTTATATAAACTAATAATTTTACCATATATATTTCTATTATATATACATAAACATGCATATAAATAATAATATAATAATGTCTAATTATATAATAATTGTTATTACAATTATTATGTATTTTTAAATAGACATTAAATGATACGTAACGTAATAAAATGACACATCAAAAATTAGGCCACTTTAATGCTATATTATATTAAATGATTTATTTGTACATTTTAACCATGAACGAATTAGTCTCTAATTCGTTCATGGTTTTAACATAGGTACTAAAACGAAAAATTACGGTGTCATTTTATTTTATAAGCAAAATTAAATAAAATTATTGGCTTATATTAAATAAATGTAGATATTTGGTTTATATTGAAATAATATTAATTTTCACAGAATTCAAAACCTGGATTCCACAGTACGATATGCGGATCGACATTTACCAGTGATAAATATACAAGGAGATATTTTGTTTAAGTCGTTTTCTGATATATTTGATGGAAATGGCGGAATAATTGCTGGGCCTCCCAGAATTTATAGTTTCAATGGAAAGAATATAATGATGGATTCAAATTGGTAAGTTAAGTAGTCTATTTTATGAACTTATTACTACTGCGATGAATGTTCTAGATTTGCTCTATTAATACATATGGGACAAATCTACAATGTTGTAATACATTATTGTATAGGCTTACGCCTTATTTGGCCATTTCTTGTCACAAGGATGGCATCTTAATCTGTTATTTTTTTAAATCAACTTATTGATTTCAAATTTTATTCATATAAAATATACATTATAAAACTTTAACAACATACTACATAGCCAAATGAAGGTGAATACAAAAAGAAAAGACTATTTACGGCATTCTTAAGTTACACTAAAACGAGTATAATATCACCATCGCGTCAAGTGTGAGTACATCTCATGTATTTAAAATACCAATGAAATAGAAATTTATATTAACGAGGCTTTAAATCACTTATAGTTACAGACCTATTCACAATTTGACCGGTTTTAGTATTTATTTTTATACTCAAAAGTAGTCACTGTAGTGACGCGAAGTTTAACGCTTGTACGTAGAGTGGAGTTGAAAGGAACTATAAAAACTCGTTTTTTGTCCTTGCACTTCCATAAAACTTCCTTAATTTAAAACTTTTACGTTTTTTATTTTATATTAAAATGTATCCTATATAAGCATAAAAATATTTGAGTTTTTTTAGCGGTTTGTGGTTATAGTTTAAAACAACAAACTGAATATTATTTATGTCAACTATTAACATAGTTCACACTGGATCCTTTTGGTCGTGAATTACTTTACGGACGTCTCATGACATTTTGGGCCTTTGCGGCTGACAGATTTATTATTTGACGTATTGAATTAGGCGAGTTATTTTGTTTATCTATATAAAAAACTAGCGACTCACCCTTGCTTTGCTCGGGTTCGTTCCTAGCTTGCTTCACCATACAAACTTTCATCCCCATTTTCATCCCCTTAACGGACGATTCCGGGATAAAAATATATAAATATTCGGATAAAAATATATATAGATTTCCGGGATAAATACATCTTATATCCTTCCCATGGTCTCAAACTATCTTCTTACCAAATTTCATCTAAATCGGTTTAGTAGATTCAGAGATTACCCCCTACAACGTCACAAGCTCACAAACTCACAATATCACAAACTTTACCTCTTTATAATATAAGTATAGAATAATTGCCGAATGTATGTAAACGAAATACTTCAGAACGTCTGCGTCTATTTGGCAATTTTTTTTCGTTGTGTTTGTAATTGTTAGGACAAAACTTGTATGAAAGAAATGTCTGAAAAATTGTATGGAAAAACGATAAATTTGAGTTAAAAAATCTCCATAAAAAAGTGAGTTGACAGATTGACGTTCAGTTGTTCAGTTTCTTATATTGTTTTATCTGTTATATCCGAAAAAAATGTTTGTTGTTTTAGTTGTTTTGTGAAAAAAGTAGAAAAAAGTTTTAAAACTTTATACTCGTAATATTAAAAATACCTGCTATTTATACAAATACCAACGGCTGCAACTATTAAGTACAGTCCATCTACTTACATAAGTAATAATCTGTTATATCAACTATATTTTAAGAAGAAATAGACAGTTTCCTGAAAAAGTAATATTATCTACACATATAATAAAATTGTAACTGAGTCGAATCTGTACATTAAATTTTCTGGGGGAATGCTATTGAAATAGTCATTATTATTGGCACAGAGGCCGAATCTATCGATTTTTGAATTTTGGTCTGTCTGTCTATTTGTCTGTTTAGAGAAAGAAACTCTCCAACGTAAGTTATATTTATAACTAGCGACTCACTCTCGCTCCGCTCCGGTTCGTCCCTAGTTATGTTTTAATGTTCAGTATAAATTTCTTAAAGGTAAGATATTTTCCCGCAGTAAAAAGTATCTTATATGTTTACCCAAATAACCAGCTATCATCATACCAAATTTCATCAAAATCTGTCCAGTGGTTTTCTCATGATGCGTTCCCAGACAGGCAGATAGATAATATAGATAGACAGACAAAAATTCTAAAAACAATACAATAATTTCTTTACAATATTACATAATAGACCTCAGCTTTGAAATATGCTATGCTTTTGCACTTTTATTATTCGATAAAAAAATACCCTTTTGTAATCAAATCAGAAATAAGTAAGAATAAAGTATATTTATGGTATAATTAGCAATCTTTAGAGAAACAAAGAAAAGGAAATAGCATCCATTGTTATACATAATACAGAATTGTTATAATTATAATGTAATATTATTACGTAATAATTAACAGGCCGCAAAAACTAATATGGCATGGATCCCACGCAAGTGGAGAACGCGCGTTGGATACTTTCTGTGAAGAATGGCAGAATGGGGAACCTACTTCTAGAGGAATGGCAGCTTCTTTATACTCTCACAAGCTACTTTCACAAGAAAGGTAAATTCATTAAAAGTAAATTTTTCTAATAACATGATAAAATTAAACTAAAGTACCAATTTCAAAGCACATACAATATACATAATGTGTTTGTCCCATATACTAGGATAGTTAAAAAGTGCAATAAATATCTTATAAAACCCACCGAGTATAGAGCATAAGGCTGGGTTTCGCCATTGGGCTTACTTAATATGGTAATATTAAGTCAAGGTAGTATCAAATGTAGATGGCAAGGTATCTCGCTGGCAGCAACCCGCCGGACTGTTTACATACGGCGCCTTCGATGTGTAAATGCATCTTGCATACATACAAATTCAATTTTAAGTTCTAAATTATAGAATTGCAAAAAAAAATAATTATAACATTAGCGACATATTATAATGTAATATATTACATATGTAATAATTTCAAAGATTTCAAGAAAGACAGATAATTATATTAAAATAACCGTCATAGCTTTTAGTATAGATACATGTATATTATACATATAGATAAAAAAGGGTCTTAAGATAGAAAAGATAAAATTAAATAAAGAAATTAATTGAAGAGATCTCAAAAGCTCCTTTGATAAAATCAAAAACCCGCTTACTACTTTATTACCAAAAATTTTTATCATCATAATTTTTGATACAGATATTCCTGTAATAACCACTTCGCAGTACTTTGCATAGAAGCCACTTCTCATATAAACGTACGAAGAAAACGTGACGCTTTAAAGTGAGTAAAGTTTTTTTTAAATATTAAATCGATAAAATTATTATAAAATATTTATTTATTTATTTATTATCACATAAAATTAGCTTATGAATATATATTTTTAATAAATATTTTTGTATTTACATATGTCTGAATTTTGTTATCAATAAATAAATAAAAATAGAATAGAATTAACGTCATGACAAATAAAAAATATTTTATTTAATAAAATGAAAATACTTTCAACAAATATACCTTTTGCATTCCAATCTATAATAATAAAATAAAAAAACCGATATCGTAAAAAGCTAACTTAAAACATGAGAAGAAGTTGAAGAAGGAATTTCCTTGCTGCGATTTTTGCTATATAAAATACTTCTAGCTGATTTTAGCTTCGCCACAGTCGGATAAAAAGTAGTCTAAGGACACGAGTTCGAATCTCGTTCAAGTTAAATATTTGCAAACTATAAAGGTATATTAATTATCCTAATCTGTAAATAACATAAAATTGAGAATTCCGCGCTTTCATCGTATATTATATTGATTATATAAATATATTACAAATTATAAATTTAGTAATATTTATTATTATATTATTTTTTTTAAATACATATACATTTATATCAGATTATAATATTTGTAAATTTATGTCAAATATAATTTTAATTTTATTTTCAGGTTTAATTTAACATCTGCCTTAGACGACGAAGACTATCTGTATAACGCTGAAGAATACCAACAATTACTAAATGAGATATTTGCTCAACCATTTAGAGAGAATTAGAATCTGATAGATACTATAAAATTTTAAGATCAAAATTCCCCACACGACGTAGGTGCTTATTTATATAAAATATCTGTCTGTATGATATTTATGTATTAAGTTGATACTTGAAATATATCGTTTAAACCTGTTTTGAAGTGATAATGATATTTTCACAGGTATTATAATGAACAACCTAAAAATAACCTTGACTGCACAATGGTTAATTCTAGGTATCTCGCAGCAATGCACGCAATTGTTTGACCACTTTTTGCTAAAAGATTTAAAATTAAATATATGTATATAACCTTAAATATATTTTATCAAATATATCATCATCATTGTGTAAAAGACACTTAAATAACATATACATTATTCCTCTATTCTAATAACATTCTCTACAACGAATAAAAATATTATAATATTATTTATTTCATTTAATTCGTAATAACAAAAATTATAATTATAGTATCAGATTGCCGTTTTAAAACAACTACATACATAAATGATACCTAAAATAGTAGCGTGTTGGGGAATGACTGTTCATTAGGGCTGACGCGGACTGACGTCGCGGTATGGCACGGATCGTTGGGCATGCTTCGACAGACCTAAAGATGACCCGTGGCATGCCACGACGTGCCGCGGTATGATTGTATCGAAATAAAGTAAAATGAATTCTAAACTCATTAAAATAAGAATAAAAAGAACTTGATAAGAAATAAAATCCTTTACCGTGCCGTGCCGTGCCACGACATCAGTCAGCATCGGCCCTTATTCACTTTTTATATGAGATTTACATTTAAAAAGTTAGGCTTGGTGTTCACATGAGATTCTTTTACGAAAATAGCTTTTAGGAACAATTTCAATCGCTCATCTTATTAATTATAGTTAAAGCTATAATAAAAAGTATGTTTGACAGAATATATTCTCGGTCTAATCCGAAACTATAGGTCATTTACTTTTGAGGCAATTCTAAGGAATATTTTAAGTGTCTGTTCAATTTTGCTAGTTAAAAGTATGTATTTGTGTTCATATGGGTAGTTATTTGTTAAATTGAAATGGGTAGTTATTTGAAAAATTTGATATGGGATACTGTGAGTATGTACTTACTTCATCTATACATCTATCTATACATTTTGACTGCGGAAAATTATCTCATCTCTGAAAAATTTACATATACTAAACGTTAAAACGTAACTAGGGACGAAACCGAGCGGAGCGAAGATGAGTCGCTAGTTCAGAATAAAAACACAAAAGTGCGAAAACGTAATTTCGGTCTAAAACGAATTATGTCGATTATATTTTAAACATCACAAAACAATACTTAACAAAAACTACATTTTATTGCTAATTATGTGTAATTTTACATTATTACTGTGTCTATTTTAGTCTAATTGGACGTGACCATAATAGTAATATTTGAATCTAATATTGAAATTATTAATTTTTAGGGTTCCGTTTCACGTCAGTGGGTTGACGTTGGATAGGTTTTTCAAAAATATTGCGGGTTTGTTAAAACAATTTTTCAATTATGGGATTCGTTTGTGAAATATTAAGCTTCAAAGTGATATTTTTTGTTAGATTCAAGTGTCCAAGCCGGCTAAATAGTTACTTTTGAATATGTGAAAAAAATCACGATAGTAATATATATAATGAAGTTAAAAACAAAACTTCAATTATGATGGGTAACTACGGAACCCTACGCCATATTGGCTATATTGCGCATATTGCATATAAATAATTCAAAAAGAGATATAATAGTTAATACTTTCTTAGATTTTCGCAAATATTTAATATTTTAAATAAATCTATCTTTTCGGATTTTTTCACGGATTTGTTTTGATTTTTGGTTCCAGACATTTCTTTTATTAACCACTATGTTGTCTTAACAATTATAAAAAAAAAATAAAAAAAATATTCGCATAATTTGTACAATTTATTGACTAGATAGTATAATGTTAAAAAAACCGGTTTACTTCAAGATGAAGTTCGTTAATTTGAAGGCTTATTAGCACATTGATGATATTATAATATAAGCGTCATTTACTCAATAGTTAAATGTATTTAACATATTTAAAATACATACTTAATATATGTACATGTAATACCCAATAATATTATAAAAGTGTGAACAGACAAGTAATTAAAATTCACCAGCTATAATACTAAACTGATATTTATTATACAGCTGTCTTCATATTTAAGTCTTGATATTTACAAAACTGTTGACACAATTGTCTTGCTCTCCAACATAAAAATGTTACAAATTATGAACTCATGTGTATAAAACTTTTAGTATTAACTTGTCATATCACATTACTAATAAAAAATATTTGAGGTTGTCGTGCAAAAGTGGCCTAAGTACAATTTTTATGAAAAAATGGCATACAATTGTTTCATTGAATTTGAAATATGATGTAAAATATTCTAAACAAGCTAAGCTTTATAATACACAAATAATATATTATCAAAATTTTAACTTTTGATTTAAACCACTTTTGCACCAACGGTTTTTTTGATAATCTATCCTAGCATTGACAGTTGCCAGATTTTTCTATAATATTTTGCTCCTTATATGAAGACTAACTTAATTAGCGTGATAGATTAGGAAATATATTTAATTGTCATAAGAAAATGTATTGATTTTTTGTGATAATTAGCTTGTCCAAGGTTTATTTGAGACTGTAAATATTAAGTTTAATTGCAATAAATTACTAATAATCATAGCATAATCGATGTATTATTATTATTAAATACATATATTTATGACTGATAGAGCGACAAACTAGATCGCTTTTTGAATTGTACTTGCAGGTTCGACTCTCGCTTGGGACAAATTTTATTGGCTACAATGTCCCGGTTAATGAATGCAATAACGTTGTATTGAACATTCTCTATAACTCAAATTTTATTTATTTAATAATTAAATGAATAATTCTATTGTCCAAACAAAGATTTTTGGTACTATTAATTTAAAGGTACAATTAATTGCTGTGTAGTTCATTTGCGTTTTTTTTATTCTACATATATTATTATCTGACACACAAGTTTACCACTAGAGGCATAAGTTAGGTACTACACTAGTCGTTATATGTTTCTGAAGTACTATTTTTATACACGTTTTACTTTATTAATAAATATTATTAAAATCAAACAAAACTTTGTTCAGTTTGATGCTATCTTTAAATTCAAAGGTCAAAAGAGACAGTGCGATTAATCTAACCATATATTCTATTTATTTCTTTAAAACCAAAGAAATACCTTTTTTAATTTATAATGTATAAAAATAGTATCGCAGGATTATAATATGTTAAGACATGACATACCAACACGCATTTATGTACGTATTTAGTTATAAGCTTCAACATCGACTATCGTGTAATGCGACCGACTGTATTTATACAAGTAAGATTAAATGTTTTGACAACACGAAGTTTTTTTTATTTTATTTTTGTCTAATCAACTCCCAAAAGACAACCGTTCTATCTGTTTTATAATAATTTTAAAATAATGAACTTAACTACAGACCATTTTGAATATAATTACGACACACAAGCAAAGATATTTTGATAAAATAAAAAATAACAAAAAGTTACAAAGTTTATCATTTTTCTTTTTAAATATAGATAATAAGTTTTGATCAGAAGTCATTTACCACGAATTTTAATATTAAATAAACTACGAAATTATAACTACGCCATTTTACATAAACATAATAAATTTTTTTGGATATCAATAAAAACGTACAGATCGTCCATCTTAACCGATTCGACCGTAGACACGTAATATGCTTACATTCATAAAATCGACAAAATTAAGGATGGCAAAACAATATAGACTAAAAATAATATAATACATTTAAATTAATCAATACCTTTATTCATAAAATTAATAATCAAACATATTTAAAAACTTAAGTTATCCTTACGCTTCGAAAAAACTTTCAGATACAATCCCCTCACGAACATGAACAAGATTGAGATTGTATATAGCAAATTTAGTATCATTTTTACCTTACCCATAAATTCTGATATTAATTCTACAAAAACTTTTATCTAATGCCAGTACCAAGTAATTTAAATTTCGTAGCTTTCATTTTTTAAATTATAAAAACTCAGTAAAAACCTCATGTAGGTAGTACTTATATATAATGTACATGAGATATTTAATATAGAAAGGATATACTTTTAATGTATGAGTTATTCACAGTCAGATAATATTCATTCAGTCAGATAATGTTCAGATAATATCCGTGCGAATATTGAAGACAAAACCGTACTATGCTTTCATATAAAATATTCAAATACGATTATTTTGATATAATCACTACGGCTCAAATTAGAACTTACAGGTAAAATAACGTTGCCCAAAAATAGTTAATTGGATTTAGCGAGAATAGGTTAAGGTGCTCGTATCCTTTTCTTCAGCTTAAGTGGCAATCCTTCGATAAAATTTTCAGACACAACTCCCCTGGGATCCGGAAGAGGATTCCGCTTGCTCATGGCACATGGTTCTACTGTGAATTTTTGTAATATTGCAACGATTCCAGCCATCGCAAGCATTTTCCCCAATCTGGCAGCTGTGAAAAAATGTAAAATATAAAAAGATAAGAAAACGTACAAGTAATTTAGAAAAAAATGAATGAAACAGAACAGTTACTATATAATTTAGGAAAAATGACTTTACGCAGAAATAAAATATTTCCCTAAACAGTAAGCTCTTGAATCGTGATATACATATTAGTAAAGTATCAAAAATTAAAAAAATATGTATATAAATACTTAGACAACAATTTAAAAGAAAATTCATAAGTTTTCGTAACGATTTCATTATAAAATTGGGTTTGGCTACTAAGCAAATACTTTTCTTCTCAAACATTATTCTACCGCAGCGAGTATAAAAGTTTTTATTATATAGTAACTTTTTAGTTTTAGTTTTTATTAAATACTAGCTGTTGCTTACAGCTTCACAATACTTCTATTTTTTTCTCATTTAATTAGTAAAATATATGTTATTAACTTTTTTCACCAGCGAGTGTTATTAAAATCAATTGATATCGATACCAACAGCAAACATAACCACTTTTAAATATTTTGAGATAATTTATAGTACCTACTGCACAAATACACAAGCTATATACATGGCAAAATAGGACTACTATTTTTAAATCACAGTTAACTCTCAAATTTAATTCCTACTATTCCTAGTACTAACTTACTAATAACAACTTACCGACACATTTACGTGGACCATCTCCAAAAGGTAAAAATACGTTACTTTTGATGTTGTTAGCATCAGAAAATCGATCAGGGTTAAATTTGTTTGCATCCTCGAAGTATTTTTCATCTCTTTGCAATGCTTGTATTGGAATAATTACTTTGACATCCTTGTCTATAGTTAGATCAATTTCTGGGAAAGTATAAGTAGGGGCCGTACACTGTCTTATTAGAAATCCTACTGAGGGATATAATCGCATACTTTCATAAAATACCTTTTCTACATAAGGCATATCATTTATAGCCTCGTAAGTTATCTTATTACCGTGTTTCTCTAAAACTCTGTCAATCTCTTCTTGAGCTATTTTTTGGTACTCCATATTATATGCAAGTTGATGTAGCGTGTAGCTAGATGATATTGAAGACGTTTCAAAACCAGCACCAAAAAATACGAAAATTTGTGCGGTAATTAATAAGTCATCTAATTCTAGCTCAACCAATTTTGGAGAGCCATCAGCTTCTTTCATTTCCAGTGATTCAACTACAATTTTCCCTTTCTCCTTAAATTCTAACATTAAATCCACAAAATCATTTTTTCCTGACGGCTTATAATTTCTTTCCTTAAGAACTAACTCTATCAAATAAATCATAGAAATTTCCAATTCTTGCGAAAGAAAACATATATTTTTACATAGTTCAGGAAACATATATTTCAATGCACCTCTAAATGCATCTCCAAATGTTCTATGAAATATTCTCTTTCCTAATTTTCTAAATTCTGAGATCTCATCGCTTAATGAGTCCATGTTTAAACCAAATCCACAAACTCCAATAAATTCTGTTGTGTATCTTGCCATAAGCTCTCTCAAATCATAATGTTCTAATTTTGACACATCTTCTGCTATTATTTGCAGCTTCTGCGCGGTATTAGTTATAATATGAAACATAGCCTTTAATCTGCCCGTACTGAAGGCTTGCCCAAATCGTTGTCTTATTAGCCGCCATAAATCACCATCAGCGAAAAACAAATTTTTCAATAACGGCTCTATTACTGTTTTGTGAGTATTAAACCCTCTAGCATAAAAACTTTGAAAGTCTGTGATCAATATTCTTTTAATTAACTCTGGGTCTCGAATTATTAGCTCCGGTGCGGTACTTCTAAAAAATCCTACTACTTTTTCATCAGGATATTTTTTATACATCTCTGTGGCTGTCATTGCTATACTAGATTTTTGACAAAAATTCAACAAATTGTTTCCAAAGTATGGTAGAGGAGTATCATATTTTACACCTCTCTTTTTCCAATATCCAAATGTTCGTACACCATATAAGTATAATACAAGTGCTATGAGCGATATAATGAAAAATATCATCGTGAAGTATCAACTTAAAATTCGTTTTAGTACTGGGAATCCCAGAATGGTTAAGACTTATTTTATATCTTGGTTACTTAACATTATGCGCGAAGCACTCCTTTAAAAGGTTCCATAATAATAGTATTGTCCAGGATAATGCTTATATTAGACCTGTCAAAAAATAAATTGTTTTAAATAAAACCTTTTCGGATTTTTTCGCGGATTTATTTTGATTTTTGTTTCCCGACGCGACGTTTCGAATGCGTTACAGCAATCATGGTCACGGAAGAGACTATGGTTTAAGATGTCTCAAAAGCATTTTATAGTTGTTACAGACCGCCTACCCACAAATTAACAAAATTAATTCAAAAAATTCAAAAATTGCATTAAAATACCTTACAATATTTGTTAATTTCCGAGTTAATTCCACATCACTTAAATTTCCAGCATGAATCAGTTCATACTGGGCCAGTTTTATTTTTTTTTCTTCAGAATTAGCACTACATGTGACTATATCAAGGTTGGTATATTATATAATATGCTTGTTAACTTTTTTTAATACGCTATAATACAGTAGTTTTTTTAATTCCTTTTTTTTATTTACTGCTGTTTAGTTTCGATCTCTTGGAGTTTTATTTAGCAAAATATTATTAAACATATATTTGTGGTCATATTTTAAAAACTATATTTAAGTCACACAAATTGATGCCTGAAATACGCTATTTTTATTTTAAATAACACTTAACACCATTATCATGACGAATCTAACGACGTATGAATCATTAAAATCGGTTAAGTCATTTAAGATCGAACATAATATGTATGTTTGAAGGCAGTGGTAGCCCAGTGGTAACGCGCTCGCTTGGGAAACCGAGTGAAGCGGGTTCAAATCCCGGGTCTCGCACCTCTGACATTTTCATGTGCGAATCATTTTCAACATGATTACCACTTGTCTTAACGGTGAAGGAATACTTCGTGAGGAAACCTGCATGTCTGAGAAAACCTAGCAAGTTTTCAAACACCACTTGGCCGTGGTGTACTATGGCCTGATTCTCCTTGTACTGAAGGAAGGCCCGTGCCAAGCAGTGGGACGTTAAAAAGGGCTGAATACATAATTTTGTATGTGTATACACGCACATACATACATACATACATCGGTACAGTTTAAAGACCCGACAGCCGGGTAAAAACAACTCGAAAACTCGTTTTTACTCGACAAACATTGGCTTTGCCTTAAGCTTTGTTTGGTCACCTAAAAATATATTTTTTTTTTACTATAGTAGAAAATAATAATGATGCTATTTGAAAACATTTTTTTTAATTTTTTCATTGATACAACAAATATTTAAAAAATGCTAACATTTTTAACAAAAACACTGCCTTTACACTTAAAAATTACACTTAACAAAGTTCTATTTTTATTAAATAAAATATTTTTATAGTGTATTCATTCCAGATAAAAGATAAAAATTCTGATATTAGAATATAGTGTTTTATTAAATACAAATAAAATATTAGAATTATGCACAATAGTGTACGCTCTTGTACTTATCATTAAAATACCGTTCATATTCTAAATATACTGACTACTTGCCTAATATTATTCAACCTTACCTCATATATGTAGTTTTCACAGGAATTTGAAATGAAAGAAAATTACACAGTAAAAATTAAAAACTTTTAAAGGAACATGAAAAATTAATATCTCAAGATTCAATTAAAAGCACAACCACAACACACCTTATGGATGGCGAGAGACAACATTTACACACGGTGACAAACACGATACAGATGCAAGTCTAATGGTATGAAATCTATAAATCCACGCATTACTTATATAGACTTGAAATGCAACGGTTTTTTTAATAATTTATTATTTTATAAATGTTGATGATGTTCTCCCGACCGATTCCGGCCACGGCGGCCAATCTCATTGAGACTAGCCAACTGCGCAGGAGATATTATAGTGCACAAGTGTACGCGCAGACACAAGTGCACTCTCTATTCCTGTCACTCTCATACTCCGGTGGGACGACTGCTCGACACGACCAGTGAGAATTAAGGCGCAGGACCGACGGCTTTACGTGCTCTCCGAGGCACGGGGGTGAAACACCGCCAACTTCCCAACTCCGGGCTGTTACTGAGGCTTACTTATACAGAAAGACTCAATAACTAAACTTGGCCCGACCCGGGACTCGAACCCAGGACCTCCGGGTGTGTAGCCGTACATGCTAGCCACTACACCACGGAGGCAGTTAATAAAGTATTGTAAATATATTCTATATTTACCAAAAAAATGAGAAATGAGAGTTTTTTTTATATGTTTTTAACACGTAGATTTCAAATGTATGTTGATGTATAAAATCAAAATATTTAAGTGTATATTACTAAATATTACAGTTTCGTTAATTATGGATGTTTATGCTTTTTCGACGACACGTTTGGCTCAGTGTGTAGTGACCCTACTTGCTGTGCCAGCGGTCGCGGGTTCGAGTCCCGCTGGGGGCATTCATTGTTTAATGAAAACGAATGTTTGTACTCCAGTCATGGATGTTTATATTTATAATATGTATGTATTTAAAGTTTATATATGTGTAATGTATCAACTATCTAGTATCCATAACACAAGCGTCGTAGCTAACCATGGAACTAGACGGTGTTGTGTGTTAATGTCCCAACATATTTATTTATTATTTATTATTATTAACTGATTTCCAAAGAAGAGGAGGCTCTATGTTCGTCTGTATGTTTTTTTACGTATGTTCACCGATTTCTCGGAGATGGTTTGACCGATTTTGCTACTTTAAACTATAGCTTTCTATTAATAGGGAATATGCGTGTGATTTAAATAAAGGTAAAATATTTTTTATAGCCTTCATTGCTTTTGAATTAAGCCTATATCAATATTTTTTAATGTAATTTGTTTTTGATTAGGAAAATAATTATTGAAAAGTGTTAAAATAGGTGGGAGATACAAAGTAGCTGAAACGCAATGCAACGATTGGTCAGACCGAATGTGACGTCAAAGTCAGATAACAGAGCGCTGTTGTTTAGTGTTTGCGATTGTTACACAATCTTAACCTGTTCGTTCGTCGATTCGACTGTCATAAACTATGACGTCATGCCAAGGGCGCCAAAATACAGAGCGTTTAAAGTAGGTATCTGTATAATATTTAAAAAATACTATATTTTAGTTTTGTAGACCTGGATATTGTTTTCTAATTATATGATGATGATGATGATGTTCTCCTAGCCGATTCCGGCCACGGCGGCAAATCTCAATCAGACCAGCCAATTGCGCAGGAGATATTATAGTGCTCAAGTGTACGCGCAGACATAAGTGCACTCTCTATTCCTATCATTCTCATACTCCGGTGGGACGACCACTCGACACGACCGGTAAGAGTTAAGGCGCAGGACCGACGGCTTTACGTGCTCTCCGAGGCACGGGGGTGAAACACCGCCAACTTCCCAACTTCGGGCTGTTACTGAGACTTACTATACAGGAAGACTCAATAACTAAACTTGGCCCGACCCGGGACTCGAACCCAGGACCTCCGGGTGTGCAGCCGTACATGCTAGCCACTACACCACCGAGGCAGTTTAAATTTCTAATTATATAACGATGTAGCTATTGTATATAAAAAAAACAAATAACAAGCATATTTCCTATTGTCTATTAAAGTAGGTATCGAGGCAATCTCATAATATTTTCTTTGACATAGCGTTTTCGAGAATAGAAACTTAAAAAAATAACCGACTTCTAGGCACTAAAATGTAAAAAATAACTTAACGGGGGTTTACATTTAGAATAGATACCTAATCGGATATTTTCGAAGTCGGTGCTGGTATTGAACACGATTATATTTTTGAAACACTCAATCCAAGTTTAGAATTAGATAATCTTGATCATTGATAAATTTATCAAAAATCGTAAAAAAAATAGCATATAAAAACAAGATAGGAAATGGACCTTTATACTAGAGGCGCACCCTAATCGCACCTAGAAAGCAGTTTCTTCTCTGTCACTCGCATCACTTGAAAATGAAGTTTATTCAGAAGTTGGCAATTATTGAACACCAAAAATGTGTTTTAGCTATCAGTAATGGTGTTCTAAAGCCGTACGGTTTGTATACCTTTGGTATTCTGTGGAAAATGGTATAGTTATATGAAAATTTATTTCATAAAGACGTCTAATGTAAATAGAAATGTATATTATGAAATCTATACATATAATAAAATTGTAATTAAGTCGAATCTGTACATTATATATTTTTTGGAAAATCTAATTGAAATAGACATTATTATCGATACAGAGTCCGAATCTATAGTTTTTAGAATTTTCGTCTGTCTGTCTGTCTGTTACCGCATCACAAGAAAACCATTGGACAGATTTTAATGAAATTTGGTATGAAGATAGCTGGTTATCCGGGTCAACACATAGGATACTTTTTACCACGGAAAAATATCTCATTTCAGAGAAAAAATACAAAAACTGCATTGTAAGAGTATACTAATATGTAAAACCTAAGAATTTGGTTTTTGGTCATCTTAACGCGGGCGGAGCCGCGGGCAATGCTAGTTATAATAATATAATAGAATTTTTTTTAATGTGCGCATCCTTTGTGTACATGGAAAGATAATATCTAATATCAAAGTTAATAAAAAAACTTCTTAGAGAATAACGTCTCATTATATAATTATAAGTTGTAAAAAGATAAATATTTTGTTTTTATATAATATTCTCAGCCATAAGGTTGATACACCTACACTTTGTCTAGGAGTGCGCAGAACGGACTTCTCATGATCTCTACATCTCACGACCTACTCGACTAAGAAAACTTTATCTATTTAATTCGTCTGAACTAATGTGTTATCTGCATAGCAAAATAAAACTTATTGCGATCCGTCCAGTGTTTTAGGAAATGGATAATTCAAAAAAAGGTTTCTATTATTTCATCCGGGATATGTTTTCTTTATTAATTTATATTATATCTATACTCTATACATATAATAAA